TATACTGTATATATAACCAGGAGGCATCCTAATCAGATGTCCAAACCATCACAGCTTACTTCTTATCATTGTCCAGCTCCTTTTTAAACATCAGTTCATTTTCCATCATCTCTTAACAGACGTGTACACATGCACACTTCGGCTTGTCCAGCCATTTGTGACTGCCGGCTATGTCTTTATATGAACATATTGATCCCCGATGCTTTTGTTCAGGCCAAACTCACTGAGCTCTCCCACTGCTGTTTAGCCGAATAACACCAGTAACCCATTTAGAAGTTACCAGTTAGTGGATCCCCTCTAGTTTTATTACTGGGAATCTACTTGGGATCATTGAAATGATCTTTGCTGTTTATGAGTTGGAAAATTAGAAGGAAATTCCTGGTTTATTAGATTATTAGAAATAACAAACCCCAGTTTGTGTTTGTTGACATGAACATGTGTTTGTTCAGTTTTATTCCCTCGCTTTGTCATATAGCCTGAAGAAATAGCTGGAATAAAACCAGTCCATAGGGAGAGCTTTGTTTTTTAATTAAAAACTGGGATCTTATTAATTATTTTTAAGTTCAAATTCAATTCAAATTCAAAGATACTTTATTAATCCCAGAGGGAAATTAGAGTTTCAGTACACACAATTCTGAGATCAGACATGCATACATAGGAATTGGTGACTGTGGTCATTCGCAACCCGAGTCACGATACCTTAATAGAGATCAGAGGGTTTACATGAGGATTGGGTCAGGTGGAGGAAAACAAGGCACTTCAGAGTTACTCTCCACAGGGAGGGCAGCTTTGCTATGCAAAATACACCTCAGACAGAAATGCAACAAACTTCAGACATTGATTAACATAAGTGTCCACTAGGTGGGGAGGTAGGGTTGGGGACTATCCTCACATCAGTGCATGCAGCCCCGATAAGCAGCGCTCATCACCTCCGTTTGGACAGAGGAAGGAGGTATTTGGGTTAGAGAGCACAGTGACTCCTGGAAACGATTCAATGGCCTTCACCGGTCGCAGTCCCGCCCAGGCTGGGATAGGGAGACAGAGTTACCATGGCGACGGCAGCATTCCACATTTCTTCTGAGGGGGGAGTAATCTCTTCAGCCTCACAGGCTCAAGGGCACCAGATTCAGATAAGAACTTGTTTTGGGGCCAGACAGAGATAATTTCCTCTCTGTCTTAAAGTTCTGTTGATCTCCAACCCCTCTGAATCCAATAATGGCATAAATTAATCCATCCCAATCCGTGCTGATCTGTCAACTCTATCCTTGATGGCATCAACCTTCTGTGCCAGAGTCTAAATCTCAGCCAAAGTTCCAAACTTACGACTCATCTCGACAATTATGAGTTTGTGCATTCACAGTGCGATGTAATCCATCCCTGAGCTCCGGGATTGAGCCAATATTCCTCTACAGCTCATTAATTTTTCGGTAAGCCAGGTAACCGCTCAGGCCAAACAGCATGAAACCTGACACCAACACCACGAATATCCAGACGTCTTCAGAATCCTCTACAGACGGTTGAGAGAGGCAGATCAGGTTCCACTGTTTCCAGGAGTCCATGATATGCCCAGCTGGCTCTGTCCCTGAGGAGCAACCGGGAGCCCCTTCTCCTGTTCTCATCATTGAAAATTTTTGTGTCATTCGCATTGAGAGACCAACTGACCAGGTCCATTTGAATAATTTCCAGTTTCCAGAAAAAATGCAGAAGCGTCGTACACCCAAAGACAGACAAAGAGCCTTGGCATAAGATATGGAGGAGAGGAGGAAAAATGCGTCTGAACTCTCCAAGAGCCTCTGTATTAAATCTCGCTGAGTCTTAGACCAAAGAAAGTTGCCCATCAATGAGTGCTGTTAATATAAAAAGTAAAGCATATCAAGTCTTAATAATAATAGAAAGTAGCTTTGTGTGTTAAATAGGAGCAGTGAGGAGGGAGGTACATGCCCTCACAGGAACAATGGGTGCTCCAACCGTGCATTTGAGAGGTTTACAAACTTTTATCTCCACTATCAAATGGTGTTTATATAGAGATCGCACCACCCCCGTAAGATTTACCAGAAGCTTTCAGCCAGTTGTCATGTGTTCTCTTTGTACACAAAATGTTGGTTAAATTAGAGCCATTTCATACTGGAGCTTAAACTCTGTACACATCTACAATATACAAAACGGCTACAAAATTTGACCTGTTTTTGGCACATTTTCTGCCATAATTTCAAACGTAATGCAACTACGTAGCCGAATAAAGATTTAGCATGCTAGCTAATGTATTGTAGTGTTTTTATGACAAAAAACGAAACAGTTTTTAGTAGGGATGTCCCGATACAGCTTTCTCTTCCAATACTGAAGGCAGTATTGACCGATACTGATTTCAACCCGATACGATATCAGCACAAATCATAGGTACTTTTATCTATTTCGTTGTGTGGAATGTATGAAAGGCATGATCAAGTGATATTACTCAATACGAGAAGAAGAGCCAGTAAACAGTAATTATGAAAAAAAAGACATTTTTTTTAACCATTGGTTGCAACAATGTGAACCAAAACAGACCGCTTATATCGGAGATTTTTGATGCAGTCCGATATAATCCGATACAGTGTTTTTGGGTCGATATCGAATTACTTCCGATATCGATATCGGAACTGGACATCCCTAGTTTTTAGCTTCCTTGGTTTATCATTAACTTCAAAATCACAGCAGCTCAATGCCCCGACATTTTCATTTCATCAAACTAATTTTGTAAAATAGCAATGACTTTAAAATGTCTCTGGAGATGTTTGAATGTGGAGTCAGAAGGAGCTGTTCCCTGTTTAGCAGAGTCATTTCATCAGGCGTGCTTCATTAAGCAGGAAAGCTGATTCATAATTGATGACCACACAGTTAAACTGAACCAAACAGGAACCAGATGTGCTACTGGAGCACAACTTTGTGTTTAACTTATAGAAAATGACAAAATTACTTTGCAAATACTTGTTCATCGTTCAGTTTGGCTTTTATTTTTGAGTTCGTCGAGTTTTGCTACCTACTTTCTAAAAGGTGTTGGCATCCAGCAGACTCCCTGCACGGACCGCAAGCACACCAGCTGAGGATGAGCAAGCAAAACAAAAATAGCACTTTCTGAATATAACTACGGTTCTGTGAGGGCTTCACTAATCCTGCTGCGAAGAGTAAATTTGCAAGAAGATCCACTCTTATCAGAAAGTTACAGATTGACCAAGTCTGGAAATTGTCAATGGCAGCACAGAACCACTCGCTCTGCAAACACTGAAACTCTAAAGGCCAGGATGTCCCCTCCTTTGGGAGTTTTACCTCATCTTCAGACTTTTCTTACAAAGACTCCCTTTTTTAACCCTTCCACTTTCGTATCAGGTGACCCCGCCAGGACAGGGGTGGTTAAACAGGATTTAAAGTTTATGCCTTGGCAGGGGTGAAGTGATGCAACCCTTAAAAAATATTAAAATAAAAAATAATACACCACCGGTCTATCTGACCCCATTAACAATGTGGGAGGGTTAAATAGAAAATTAACACTGGCTTTGCATTTTTAATTTATAGTGTTCTTTTTTTTGCCATGTGAGTCTGAATATAATCGTATTACTCCCCTTAGATGTGGTGTAATAAATGTGAAACAGAGATTTAGCCTTGACAAAAAATAAATAAAATAAAGGAACGTGGCCGTATAACTATTTAGCATGCTAGCTAGTGTATAATAATGTTTTTATGGCGAAAAACAAAGCAGTTTTTAGTAGGGATGTCCTGATACAACTTTTTCACTTTCGATACGATACCGATATCGCAACCTTCAGTACTGACTGAATTGTGAGGTTTTGTTTCTCATAGCAGCAAAGTTTCCCCCAATACTTTATAAGCCTGGCGGGCCACCAGGACTTCCTTGGCCCCCGCTCTCACGGTTCAAAACCCTGAGCAGTTTATTTAAACATTTCAAGAAACCCTCAAAAAATATACTTGCACAGTTCGGGAACATGTTTGCGATGTTTGGAACATATACTCAGACTAGGAGAGAGTGTGCCTGCATTCCACTTGAGGAACCGGTCTTTCTCTGTCTGACTGCATTCTCAACCTGAAATAAAAATACTTTTCACCTTAAAATTATTTATTTAATTATGCTTTAAAGAAGCAAACAAATCATTAAAATAGAGCTCAACATTTAACAGTATCCATTATCAAAAGCGTGTAAAAGATTTGATGTAGAAGCAAAAACCCAGGCTTGGCAATGAGAGGTTTAAGGCTTTGACTCGGCTCTATGTCTGCTTTTAGCTAAGATTGTGTCCCATCTCCTTTACCAAAACACGACCAACCTTATTACTGTGTAGGTACCAATAAGCCTCTGAGCTTTCAGGATCATTCAATGCTTTGCAGTCGGATGCGACAGAGTTAGGAAAGTAACTAAAATACTACTGTATGTTAGCTCTGGCCAGATTTTCCTATCGCCCTCCCACCGCTCTATTGCAGTAGGCAGAGGAATTGTAATGGTGTCCCATTTGAGCTGTGACAGCTGGTGTTCCCACATAGTTTATGTCACTTAAAAGATGATAAAAAGTGGATTAGTACAAATGGATCGCATCATACATCTGTGGTCTCCATGTAAACAAATTGGACCGGAAGTCGGCCCCATATTTCAAGTGCTCATGGGGGCTGGGAATGAGGTGGATACACTGTTTAGGAAGAAAGGCAGGGTGATGAAGGAAGCAGATATCAGACATTTGCTTTGCTACTGTAAGTAGAGGTGCATAAAATGATAGAGTGACAGAACAGTTTAAATATGGATGAGTCAGACTAGTATCTTTATTATTCTGACAGCATCTTTTACACAAAAATAAGAAAGACTTCCTTTAAAAACCCTCCAAAATAAAAGCCCCGGGCAAGCCTATCCTAATGCTGGGTGCATCACGTTTTCTCACTGCAGACAAATCAGCCTGTTATCTATTTGTTTATTTATAATTCAACAAATTGCTGAACTGTTCATGTTGTTGTGTTTTCAGGAAGTGGAGCCACTGCCGTGGTTCAAGCAGCCTACTGTGTACCTCGCAAAGAGAAGGTGGCCATCAAACGCATCAACCTAGAAAAGTGCCAAACAAGTATGGATGAACTCCTGGTAAGGACACATGCATGTTCTAGATGAGCGAGTCCCCTTCAGGCAGGACATTTTATTTATGATTCCTGGATTGCTTCCATGTGAACGGAGTTGGTTTTACTTCTGCTTTTCATTACTTTTTCTCCGAACCGTCATTGAATCATTTCTGTCACTTGGAACACTGTTCTCGTTGTTCTCTGAAGGAGGGCTCCGCTTACAGCCAGGAAACTATTAGACCACTGTGGGACATCTTCCTCTCTGTAGCAACATGTTTCTTTACACTGTGTGTGTGTGTGTGTGTGTGTGTGTGTGTGTGTGTGTGTGTGTGTGTGTGTGTGTGTGTGTGTGTGTGTGTGTGTGTGTGTTTGTAAAATATCATTGGATCTTTGCTTTGAACTAGAGGCCGACCAATGCAATTTTGCCTATATCGGCCAAAATTATTTCTAAAAGCCAATAAAAATAAAATAAATCAGGCACCTGTGTGACAACCTGCCCCCACTAATAGACTAAAGAAAGGACCGAATAGTAAGAGATTTATTTAATTTATATTGCACACAGAGAGAGTTCAGTTGTCTTTCATAATCAATGTTCTGCTAAAACGTGTATAAGTCGGCCATCGGCAACAAAATTCTTTAAAAATTAATATCGGCATCGGCCTTAGAAAAAAACCATATCGGTCGGCCTCTACTTTAGAGGAACCAGGTGTTTGTTTGTGACTCATTCTTTGGATTTAATTTTGAAATCGTCATTTTTTGTTTGCTCGATTAAAAAGGCCATGTTTCCATAAAAACTTGTGGTTTAACTTTGAAGGACTTGTTGACACCAATATTTAACGGTTGGATTTCTTTGGTTAATCCACCTGGAATCATCGCAAGCTCCGACTTAGTTTGCTTCACTTGGTTTTAACAGTATCAGTGAGATGGGCTCGCATGGAGTCGCAGATCAACAGGGACGGATTTTTGTGGAATTGTGGAATTTCGCTCAGCCACTCACTCTTCTCCTCGTCCATTCAGCCCTTTGGGTTAGCCTTGATGATGACGCCGGCTGGAAAGTTTTCTTTTGGCAAAGTCTTCTTGGGTTGTAGTTTCTGACCATTAGCCTGGCAACAGAGAACTACAGTGAAGGGTGATTTCTCGTTTCCTATGGTGCGTATTGATACCGTACTGGTCCCTGTTTTCCCAACAGTACGGTTAACGGGAATGTCAGAGGTGAGGGGGACCTCGTCCATGTTGGTGATGTGTTCTGGCTGGACCTTCTTTTCGTTGATCTTGTTCTTGCATTAGGTGCGGAAAAGGGCCAGCTTTTCTTCGTAATCGTTTGGCAGTTGCTAAGAGAAGGAAGTTCTTGTGCGGAAGCACCAAGAAGGACCTCCTCAGAAGTCGTTGATCTTCATGTCACGTGCCACTGCTGTTGCCTTGAGTTGATTAGAGACTGTTGAGACACCTCTAGCTGCTGTTCTCTGCTCAAGAACCCACCTTTCAACTTTGTCCTCCAACTACGGCCATCTTGCTTTGTTCCCTCGGAAACTCTGCTTGGTCTTCTTTACTTGGCGGAGGTCATCTTCTTGCCTCCTCCATTTCCATACCATTGATTCATTAATGTTGAACTCTCTCGCTGCTGCTCTATTCCCATGTTCTACTGCGTGACTGATAGCCATGAGTTTAAAATCTGCTTCGTAAGCATGTCTCTTAACAGGTGGCATTTTGGGCTCCTTATTCACATCCCATAATATTACCAGAGTGTTGAAGCACAGTATATATCATTCCGCAATGTTCCTGACTACAGCAGCCGTAATGCTTTACCATCAAGCGGTGCGGCTCCTTAGCTCAGCAAAGTTGTACTAAATCCTTTTTACTGATTTTTGAGCGCTGTGTACCACATCTTATCAATTTGAAGGTTGTAAGCACTAACAGAATTATACAGAAGGCGCACTGGATTGTAAGGCGCACTGTTGATTTTTTTGAAAATTAAAGGATTTTAGGTGCGTCTTATAGTCCAGAAAATATGGAACTTACAAGTCAAGAAGCAACAAAGCCAGGTCACCATCAGTCTGTGATTTTTGTAGCCTCATTTAGCTCTCTCAAACTATTGTAGGCCATGCCAATGTTCACTCTGGTTTTACCTGTTTTCTTCGCCTCCAAAGACATTACTCTCTTGCTTTAACTTCCAGGCTCCACCTTGATGCTAACAGAAAAAAACAAACTTCTTCCTCGTGCTTTTTATTGACGGTCTGCAAATTGAAAATGCTAACCTTTAGCATTAATGCTAGAGGTGGCCAGATGGCTTGGTTTGGTCAGCAGAGGGCTGCAGAGTGGCGTCAAATATGAAAGAGGTCAAGTTTCTAACTCAACAATGAGTGAGGTCAATGTTGAGCTCTAGCTTAATGTTGAAAAACTATCTGGTGTTACTTTAAACAGCTAGGAAGCTTTAAATAAAAACCACACAAAAACCAGACTTTAAATAAGACTTTAGCAATGAAGCTTGAAGGTCTTTAACCCTCCCACTGTCCTAACGGGTGTGACCCCACGAGGAAAGCTGACCATTGATCAGGGTTGTTGGTTTATCCCTTGAGGTCCACGTGGCAGGGGTGAGGAGTGAGCACCACTTCACCCCTGCCACATGGACTTCAAGGGATAAACCATCAATCCTGCTCAATGGTCAGCTTTCCTCACGGGGTCACCCATAAAGACAGTGGGAGGGTTATAGTAGTTTGTAATTTTCATTGAAGCCAAGTAATGAGTCATATATCTGGGCCACCATATTGGATTTAGGGTTCAGCAGGAGCTTCCTGTGGACCAAAGACCACCTGAGGACTCTTTCAAAAGTTCTGCTCTGTCAACAACAAATTCACAAGTTCAGTGTGTTTTAGCATCTAAACAGTTGTGAGCATAAAGAGCAGTGAAACCGTGATTTGTTGTCCTCATCTGGATTGAATTTCAGGGGAGAAAATTCAGACCAACTAGCAGATTTCAGAAGCTACATCACATGCTCCTGTTTTTCCTTTCAAAGGGCGACAGAGACTGAATGGGAAGAGCAACTGGCCACTTTAAACCTAGATACCAGCATGCCGCATGTTGAAGTATCCTTGGGCAAGATACAAAACTATAAAGTAGCTCCCCGGGTCGGCGTTATACAAACGACAGCCCTCTGCTCCTCAGGGGTGGGTCAAATTCAGAGAAATATCTTCCCAGAAGGGGTCAATAAAGTAATATTGTCTTTGTTATCTGATTCTGATGAAATGTTGACATCTGTCATAGTGTTGACACATTAAACCAGTTGTTTACAATAGTTTCCTGTTTGCTTTAATTATGCTACTCCCACTGTTGGTGTTATTGGCGGTACCCAGCCAATAACACCAAGAAAGGAAACGACATTCATTTATTTTTAAACAGCCTTTCATACTTTTTACACACATTCATGGGAAATTGACCTCTGACCCGCAACTTTAAGAGGGAATACTCCTGGATTTGTGTTAAAATGCGCAACAAATTAAATTTTGTTATGCTAATAGTTAGTTTCTACTAGCCGAGACGTTCTCTGCCGTTTCCTGGATTCTAAACCAACAACAACAGCCTTCCCTGTCATGAGTCAATGGGTGAGTCCATGACTGTTAAGTGACACTGTGACATAGATCAAATCCTAGAGTTTCACCATCTATTTTCTATCAGAAGCTAATGTAGGAGATAGATGTAGGAGACTATTTTCATATTCAGCTTGCATGAAAATAAGAAGAAGAAAAATAAGACAATCTTTTATATAGCACCTCTCAAGATAAAAATCGCAAGGCGCTTCACAAAAACAAAAACATTAAAGTCAGAGGAATCTCTTTTACCACAGTTTTGCAGCCCTTTTGATACACATCGTCATATTTTTTAGTGAAGCAGCTTCCTCTTTAGTGGTTTCTTGTGAGTGCATGCTGCAATGGGATTGGGTCATTGTGTGTGTGTGTGTGTGTGTGTGTGTGTGTGTGTGTGTGTGTGTGTGTGTGTGTGATGCTCTGACTAGCCAGTAGTGATGTAACATTGCTTTTATAGAGGCCTCTGTGTGTGTGTGTGTGTGTGTGTGTGTGTGTGTGTGTGTGTGTGTGTGTGTGTGTGTGTGTGTGTGTGTGTGTGTGTGTGTGTGTGTGTGTGTGTGTGTGTGTGTGTGTGTGTGTTTGCGCGCCATCCCGGTGATTCTGTGGCACCAGTGTGTGAACCAGCACTCCATTCAGTTTGTTACAATAGGTCATTTATTTTCTGCTCCTGGTTCTCAGACATGGTGAGCATTAAACAGAACAGGCCTTCTATAAAAAGTTCGAGTGGCAAGGATTGGTCTGCTTTTGTTGGAACACTTCTGTTAGTTAAAGTTCTTTTTCAGGAAAGTGGATTATCATTCGGGTCGCAGTGACATTCTAAAGAGAAGTTTTAAAGACATTTAGGGTTCCAGTTTGTGGGCGGGAGCTGTTCGCCTGCTCTACTTTTGAAGCTTGATGCCTTGAATAACAATTACTCTAAATGCCTCTTTAAGGATTACGTCATCTCAGCAAACGTCCATCAAAAAGAAGTGGTAAAAAAAGCCAGTTAGAAAGATGGATAGTGGTGATAATTACATATTTATATCTTTTTATTTACTTTTGTAAACGTGAAGAGTCCAGGTATGCGTTCCGCTTTTTTCATTACCAGAATCTTTGCTGCAGCCCAAGTTTACATTAATCTGATCCTCGTACAAAGATAGGAACACCTGCCAGCTGCTACAGAACAGAATCCTCCCTGTTGCTTTTCTTTTCTGGTTTCCTGCCCCATGGAGCTCTGGTGAACTCTTTCTTCACTGGTTGGAAGGTTTGGAGGAGAGAGAATGATGGCAGATCAAATAAAAACCTTCTTGTTTAATTTTATTTTTCCGAAGCATGCCTGTACCCGTCATGGTCCAATGCCTTTGTGTCACGTGGTTCTCCTCCACCCCTTTTATCAGTCTTTTGTTAAATGTTCTCTGCATTATGAAGTCATGCGCCGCGGGGCATTAGCATTTCTTGTTGAGAGCTCTAGTCTCAATACTGATGACTCTGCAGCTGAGTCACTCTGCTGCTAAAGCTAATGCACCGCAGGTAAACTAAGCATTTATGCTGATGGAATATCTGACTTTGATTATTGTTTTACCCACAAACGTCTGTTGGTTGGAGTCTTTAACAAGTCCTTTAGTTCGAGAGTTTAGCTGAGAGTTTTTGACGGGCATGAGGTGTAGCGGTCATCGTTAGCAGTAATTGTGTTACAAAGTGTTTTACAATTGACTAAAGGTGATAACTCCATGCCTCCTTAAGGTCTTTGACTTGGTTTCTGGGTGAAGAGTTAATATCTTTGAAGAAAGTTGATGCTAGTTGAAAAAACTGACGATTAACAAGAAGAACAATGAAAGTCGTTTAAGATAATAAGTAGTTAGGGTAAGGAGCTCGGACATTCGGGAGAGACTTGGAGTAGAGCCGCTGCTCCTCCATATCGAGAGGAGTCAGTTGAGGTGGTTTGGGCATCTTGTTAGGATGCCTCCTGGACGCCTCCCTGGGAAAGTGTTTCAGGCATGTCCTGCCAGCAGGAGGCTCTCTGGTCGACCCAGGACACGTTGGAGAAAGTACATCTCCAAACTGGCCCAGGAATGCCTTGGGGTCCTACTGGAGGAGCTGGTGGAGGTGGCCGGGGAGAGGACGGTCTAGAACTCCTTAGTTGGAATGCTGCCCCCGCGACCCGGACCCAGATAGGCAGAAGAAGACGAGACGAGTATCTGTTAATACTATTGATGTAAGAGAATATCGGTACACTTAAATATCATGAAATTCTGTGTTATGATAACGAATCAGTATTAAAAGCATTGATTTTATGTATTTTTTAATTGAGAATTTATTTACAAAGGGCAAAATGGAGACGGATGATTCGTTGTGGCGACCCCTAAAGGGAAAAGCCAAAAGAGGAAGAAAAGGCAAACCTTAACTGTATTATTTTTATGTGGTGCAATTCAAACGCCAACTGCTAGTTGGCAGTAGATTTTACTGATTTGTACTCTTGTTTAAAGAAGAAAACTGGTCTGTTTTATTGATTTTAAAAGTTAACTTTACTCATTTTTAATTGATTAGCAGTGGTCTCTAGTGGAAAGGAATGCCTTTGAAGCTCTTCTCTGGGCTTTTGGAGTCTTACTTCCTGATATTCAGACATCTTGCTTCTGATTGGCTAACAGCAGCGTGCCTCACCACTGACTCGGTTTACTTTGCAATGTTGATATTTTACCTCCACAAATGACACAAGCCTGGAGGAGTTCTGCCATGTTGTGGGGTTGCTAATGCTAACGATTAGCTTCTACTAGATGAGATGTGCTCTACTCTTTCCTGGAGCCTAAACCAATAACAGCCTTCCCCATTTGGGGTAAAGATGGGTGAGTCCATGAATGATAAGTGACAATGTGACATAGATCTGTCAGGCTTTTCTGAACCGAGCGTGTTTTCATCTATTTTCTCTCAGAAGCTAATGCAGGAAATAGGGGTAGAAGATCAATTTTACATTCAGCCTGCATGAACTGATCATTTTCAAAATAATAAGTATAAAATGGTTTCTCAGTGAACTTGGTCTTTAACATTTTTATTCCAGGATAACCTGCTTGAAATCTTTGCTATTTTATAAGTTGGCAAACACAAATCTGCTTTGTGTAGTTGTGTGTTGGGTGAGTGAGTGGTTGACAAGGTAAACCTGTCTGATTCAGAATCTTTTACCTACAGAAGGTTTCCTTTCTCAGAGGAAGCTGTCCTCAAATGACTTCGGGTTTGGTGGTAAAGTGATGGATTAGTCCTCTGTGCCAGCATTACCTCAGCCCTACTACTTTCCAAACTCTCTCTCTCTCTCTCTCTCTCTCTCTCTCTCTCTCTCTCTCTCTCTCTCTCTCTCTCTCTCTCTCTCTCTCTCTCTCTCTCTCTCTCACTTTCGCTCTCTCTCTCTCTTTCGCTCTCTCTCTCTTTCTCTCTCTCTCTCTCACACACACACACACACACACACACACACACACACACACACACACACACACACACACACACACACACACACACACACACACACACACACACACACACACACACACACACACACACAAAGTAATATATCTTTAAAGCTGCACAACGAGCTATGCATGGGCAATTTAATTATTATTTTGCATCTGAATAGATAAATGATTCCTCTGATGTTACTATTGATGCATTTAAGCATCACAGCAGCTTTAAAGACATGTGTATTTATTTTGTAAAACATAATGGAATTAATCAATATTTGTTCTTTTATCTTATAGAAGTTGGTGTTTGTGTGTGTGTTTTACAGGTGCTGGCCAGTAAATTAGAATATCATCAAAAGGTTGAAAATATTTCAGTAATTCCATTCAAAACGTGAAACTTGTACATTATATTCATGCAATGCACACAGACCAATGTATTTCCGATGTTTATTACGTTTAATTTTGATATTTATAGGTGACAACCAATGAAAACATCAAATCTGGTATCTCAGAAAATTAGAATATTCTAAAGGCCAATGAAAAAATGTTTGTTTCTCTAATGTTGGCCAACTGAAAAGAATGAACATGAAAAGAATGTGCATGTATAGCACTCAATACTTAGTCGGGGCTCCTTTTGCCTCAATAACTGCAGTAATGCGGCGTGGCATGGACTCGATCAGTCTGTGGCACTGCTCAGGTGTTATGAGAGCCCAGGTTGCTCTGATAGTCGTCTTCAGCTCCTCTGCATTGTTGGGTCTAGCGTATTGCATCCTCCGCTTCACAATACCCCATAGATTTTCTATGGGGTTAAGGTCAGGCGAGTTTGCTGGCCAATCAAGGACAGGGATACCATGGTCCTTGAACCAGGTGCTGGTGGTTTTGGCACTGTGTGCAGGTGCCAAGTCCTGTTGAAAGGTGAAGTCTGCATCCCCATAAAGTTGGTCAGCAGCAGGAAGCATGAAGTGCTCTAAAACTTCCTGGTAGACGGCTGCATTGACCCTGGACCTCAGGAAACAGAGTGGGCCAACACCGGCAGATGACATGGCACCCCACACCATCACTGACGGTGGAAACTTTACACTGGACCTCATGCAACGTGGATTCTGTGCTTCTCCGCTCTTCCTCCAGACTCTGGGTCCATGATTTCCAAAGGAAATGCAGAACTTGCTTTCATCAGAAAACATAACTTTGGACCACTCAGCATCAGTCCAGTCCTTTTTGTCCTTGGCCCAGGCGAGACGCTTCTTGCGCTGTTTCTTGTTCAAGAGTGGCTTGACACACGGAATGCGACACCTGAATCCCATGTCTTTCATGAGTCTCCTCGTGGTGGTTCTTGAAGCGCTGACTCCAGCTGCAGTCCACTCTTTGTGGATCTCCCCCACATTTTTGAATGGGTTTGTCGTCACAATTCTCTGCAGGGTGCGGTTATCCCTAGAGCTTGTACACTTTTTTCTACCACATTTTTTCCGTCCCTTCGCCTGTCTGTTAATGTGCTTGGACACAGAGCTCTGCGAACAGCCAGCTTCTTTAGCAATCACCTTTTGTGTCTTGCCCTCCTTGTGCAAGGTGTCAATGATTGTCTTTTGGACAGCTGTTAAGTCAGAAGTCTTCCCCATGATTGTGGTGCCTTCAAAACAAGACTGAGGGACCTTTTAAAGGCCTTTGCAGGTGTTTTGAGTAAATCAGCTGATTAGAGTGGCAGCAGGTGTCTTCTATATTCAGCCTTTTCAGAATATTCTAATTTTTTGAGATACCAAATTTGGAGTTTTCATTAGTTGTCACTTATGAATATCAAATTTAAATGTAATGAACATTGGAAATACATTGGTCTGTGTGCATTGCATGAATATAATGTACAAGTTTCACGTTTTGAATGGAATTACTGAAATATTTTCAACCTTTTGATGATATTCTAATTTACTGGCCAGCACCTGTATATTCACTGCTGCGAACAATTAACATAACATCATGTGACTTTGTGTGTCTTCCTCAATTAATATTCTGAGGTAGAAATTTGTCTCAGACAGGATATTACCTCATTAAACCAACTTTTCTTAAATCAGTTGTTTGCCGTCAGACAGATTAACGCAGATCTGATTAATTGTATTTTCACTATCGCTCCTTTTTTCTCCCTTCTCCAACAGAAAGAGATTCAGGCCATGAGCCAGTGCCACCACCCCAACATCGTGTCTTACTACACATCCTTTGTTGTGAAGGATGAGCTGTGGCTGGTTATGAAGCTGCTCAGTGGAGGTAGGTGCTTTAAGTTTCCTACTTCCATTTCCTGTCGGTCAATCAAGAATCCTCGATCAAATACATTCAAATTAATTACGGCTATTATTTGCTAGAGAAGAGGACCTTGGCGATTGGTCGGATAGACTTGCAGGCTCTAGAATTTCTTTGTGGCCTTTCATGATAAAAGTGGGACAGCAGTAAGAGCTGTGTGGCTCGTCGGCTGTGATTTTAACTGGTATTTTAGGAAATGTGACGACACCAGCCTTCATTGTGTCCCCTGTAAGCTGCAGCTCCCTTTGGTCTTTAACTCGGTACAGAGCTAATGACTGTGCAGAGGTAATAACAGCCCACATAGCAACCATGCGTCAGTCCTGCAATTACCCAGTTGAGCGACTCAAGAAGAGAAAAAAGATATCCTGAAATTCTACCATTTGCAGCTGAATGGATCTCATTTAATTTGCTTTACCAACAACTTATTAGAAAGTAAAAACGAGCGAAGGGTTGTTGTTTTGCTCACATCACTCAAAATTGAGCTCTCAGGCGATATGTTGGCTCTCTGGGTGTATTATGAATGGTGTTCTGGAACGAGCGCTTAAAACTTTAGCTTAGAATTTATTACATTTTCTGATTTAGAACAACTTTTGTTTGCTAAGGTGGAGTAGTTGTGGTTGTGTTTTATCAGTTTGCATCCAATGAAAACTTCTTTGAGTTTTATTAAAGTAACTGTGTGTATTTTCCCTGGTGATAGGGCGCAGTACACACTTAAATCATTGCAAGCAAGTGGTATTTTTGTGTTTGAGTAAGACCTTACCAACTGATGGCCATTAGGGTCAAAATTCCCTGGGAGCGCTTTTTTTGAACAAGTACTTTGTCAGATCCTTCAACCTCCAGTGACATCAGACTTCCTTTCATCACTGCCAACTAGTGAAGAGGTAAATGTGTAAAACAGCAACGTTTATGAATGGTGAAGGTTTTGTAACCACTTGTTACAAAGCAGTTTTGTCCTCACGGGCTCCCTTAGAAGGAAACCTTGCGTCTAATATGGCGTCACCCAGAGACTTCGACCCACTCCCATGTATTTTAGACCCGATCTTTATGGTTATATGTTATGAAGCCGCCAATATTGTTCAACAACTTGGCATCATTTAATTCATTTTCAGCATTTTGATGGATATTTCCAGAGATTAATGATAAAAACTTCAAACACACACACACACACACACACACACACACACACACACACACACACACACACACACACACACACACACACACACACACACACACACACACACACACACACACACACACTTAGACCAGCCAGAGCTGCTAAGCAAATGGCACAGATCAACTCCTGAAGAAGCATCCAGTTTTGCATCTTAGACACCCAATCATGCTGAGTGACCTGCATTAAAATATAAAAATTTTTATGGTCAATTAGTACCCCTCCCCCCACGTAAACACTGTTCCACAGTAATGGATTACAGCCAGGTGGCATGCCTGGCACACTCGGATACACTTGAATCCCAAACCCCCTGGAAGCTGCCTTGCAGCTGGGCTCGAGGCGCTGTGCCCGCCAAGCGACGCTCAAGCAGACAGCCAGCCTCGCAGCGGGTGCAGACTCGACTTAAGATGGCCTCGTTCCTCTTTATCCCAGTCAAACACAGACACTTGGTGGTGAGTTTTATTGTGTGGGGTAATTAAACGATAGCCGTGGCAACGTCTGCCATGGAAACAGACCTCAGCCAGGGTGGGTTCACAGACCATCACTCCACAGGGTGGAGCATACCAAACCTGGGGAAGGCCAGCTCTTGTATGATCATCTGGCTTGATGAAGCGCAAGAAAGTCCCCCCCGACCCCACTGTGTCTTTAGAAAAACAGCTAATAGAACAATTGATCAAAGCACAGACATTTTAGTTTTTATACTGACTTGATTATTTTTTTTAGACAAGTTTTTGTTTGTAAATCTAACTGGTTACATTCCTAGAGGACCTGCTTATAATAGAAGTCTGACTGCATGCTAATAAGCTTAATCTTACATAAGACATAGTTTTGCATTAGTCACAAATAATGTAGCCAAAACTCAGTTTTTATGCCGATTAATCCCTCGACTAATCAGTTAATCTAAATAGCTATTTTTCCTTCAAAGCAAGAAACCATACAGAGCTCAAAACCAGCTACTACAGCAACCACTGACAGGTGATTATTGTCCAGTCTTTACTTAAATTTCATTTGACATAGTTTTTCTGCAACTTTTTCCAGTTTCTGTGTTGTGCAAACATACCATTATGTTGGTTTCAACTGGCAAACGTCATATGAGGAGGGTTAAACTCTCCCTTGTGTGTGTGTTGTTTTCTTTCTTCTGAACAGTATATACTGCGACTCCTATTACTAAGTTAAGCTGAGTGTCACATGCTGTTCACCCAAAACAGTAAAGCTCTAATCAACTCCCAACCCATCCTCCACACTGACTAATCCATTCAAGTCCAAACCCATAGTACTGAACTTTGAAATAAGTGCTGCAGGCACATCGCTTTTCAAGAAATTCCTGTTCTGGAAGTGACATTTGAACAAGTGTTTCATTAAGGTTCTGCACAAAACCCGACACCGACTGAATTCACATCTGAGAGGCATCAACTAAAGCCCTCAGGGACAGCGTATGAGTCATGTTTTCTGGAACTTATCACGCAGCTTTCTTTAACCTGTCACTGCTGCTACACACTTCAGTCGAATGCTAGTCGGGAAGAGCTTCAGCGTAAGATCACCAACAGTCCTGAAACGTTGACGGGGAGATTTGATGGGCATCCACGTCTGAGAACAATAACAATTACAGTAACTTTGACGATAATAATATGATCATTTACACTAAAACAGTGACACATAAACACATGTTGCATGCTTGAGACGTATTCCAACTCAAATAGATTTTGCCAAATTGCTGCTGAGTGAAAATGCACAGAGAACTAAATTAAAAACAAATCGTTGAGGTATACGACTTTAGTAGTCTTTACCTTGTGTTTGATAAGTGAACTCTTGTGACAGACTTCAAAAGAAATGTGTTACACGCTTTCTTTTTCATAAATAAAAGACTTAGACAAAAGTAGCAAACAAAACTGGATTGTTGTATATATTTTCTTGAGGTCATCAAAAAAAATGATAAAGAGATATAATCTTTCACATTGGGTGATCAACTTTGATTAGCCATGTTTCTGATCAACATTTAATTCCAGTTTCTGCTGTTAAAATTATGTCATTTAGCTGGATCTTTAACGTTTAGTAGAATCTACTCATGATTGTCAAGTAGAAACCTGCATTTTTCTAAACTTGACAAAAATAAACTTACGTGAGTCAAATGTAGGGCTGCATAATATAGAACCTAACCTTGCGATATATTGGGATGTTAACAACAGATGATTGATTGCTCAAAGTCATGTTTCACACTTGTTACCTTGGCTGACCATTAAAACCTTTGTGTTTTGCAAACCTCAGTTGGTGAATTACAGTCTACTGCAGGGCAATTCAATTCCGGGCCTCGAGGGCCCACTATCCAGCACGTTTTAGTTTTAACCCTGCTTCAACACACTTGATTTCAATCAGCAGGTGATTAACAGGCTTCTGCAGAGCCTGATGAGCTACTGCATAGGTTACTCAACCACTTAATCTATTGTGTTGGACCAGAGAAATCACTAAAATGTCCTGGATACCGGCCCTTGAGGCACAGAATTGAATAGCCCTGTTCTACTGGCTCAAATCGCAGTTTTCACAATATAATACAGTCACGATTGTAGACACAAAAATGTTTTTGTCAGACCACTCGGTAATTCAAAATAAGGTTCAACTAACATTTAGAAGCCTCATATCAATGACAGTAAAGAGCCGTCTTGAACAAATTCTGTCTTTTTACATTCAAAAGGGTCCAATTAATGTCCTCCAATAAAATAGTCTACAACTAGTCTTACCTCCACAGTCCGACATACCGCTGAAAACCTCACATGTTTCCTCACATGTGTCTCTTTCTTGCAAACCCCCATTACCATCCTCAAATTAGCTTCAAACATTTGATTGACGTCTTACCCGATCTTATAGGTGAAGGGTTACTCCCTCAGCTGAGGCAAAATCTTCCACTAATGATGACTTGTCAAAAGTTCTGACCCCATACTCACGTCTGTACCCACTATGCAAAGACCTACTGTGGACATCCTACAGACATGGTCTGGACCAACGGACTCAATATAGACATGGTCTGCATATCCATGCGAGGTTGACTGTTTGCAGGGTAGCTCAAATCTACACAATGTATTGTTGTTTAACGTGTCAAATAGCCAACGAAATACTAAACGATCTCACATAACCAACCCATTGTGGTCTGCCACAGCAAACTGAGTAAGAACAACTGAGAATGGTGGATTGCTGCATGCAGTTCATGTCTGGTACCCTAATGTTAGCTGAGACCATGTTGAGTTCTCCAACATTGCATTAGGACCTGCGGTGTGACTATTCACACACGTACATTCCGATGTTGATGCTCAAACGTAACCTTCTGTAGCTCTAGTCAAATGCTACCGTTCTTACCAACAACCTCTACAACGACGCACTACTACAGTATAAAAACTAACCGATTACATGATTTAGTAAATGTTTTAACAAACTAAGACACTAGCTTTATTAACACTTTTTGAAACATGGTATTGCTAATTCCCCAACTGGGCTGTGCATAACTGTTTAACCCTTTAGTGCTTTGTTGACCAGATACAGTGATTAGATGGGTTGGATGTGGCCCCAGATCCACCAATTGACTATCGTTAACATAGGTGATAGTTAACTAAAACATTTTGAGGCTCAATATCGGAGCTGTTGCCCTTTTAGCGTTATTAAAAAACAGCTGAAATGTGCCATTCATATTTCCGAGAACTCCACCTTTCTCATTTTCATGTTATCAGTTTTTCTGATTTCCCTTTTAGGTAATTTTGTAACTGATTCAAATGTAGAAAGAAGCTTCCTTCAGCCCAAGCCAACAATGGTATTTTTATACTCTCCATGCCTTCAGTGTCCCACCCTCGCTTTCCTTATCCAGCGTCACTTGGCATTCTGCATGAGCCTTTAGCACAGTTGGCACCGGGTTTCTCGTCCTTCATCTACTTCCTTATCCTCTCCCTCCCCCGCCTTTCATTCTCTCATCATCATCCCTCTTGATCTCAAAAGAGCAGAGTGACCAGAAAGGTGACGCTATTGTCAGTTTCTGTTGAAAACTCAAAGAGAAGGGAGAGATTTGTTTAACTCTGCTTGTAACTGAAACAATGATTTGACATTTCCCCGAGTATTCGCATGCTCTGCACTGCAGTGCACTCGACTGTCAAGACTTAATTTACTCCCTGCGATTTGTATAAACTTTTCCTCTGGGGCTTTTGGACTGGCACCATTCAAATTAACATCAGCAGGTATCTTGCCTTTCCCATGCAAAAAGAACCTTTGGACTGTTAACCTGTCAGGATGTTTGAGCTCGCTGAAACGACCTAATGAGGCATGAAGAGTTTAGTCAGATGAATTTAATTTGAAGAAGGCTGACAAGGCTGGCATTTAGAAAGCCCCTAAAGCCTGAATCATGGTGTGTGTGTGTGTGTGTGTGTGGTAACCCACCTTCTCCTGGTACCACCTTAAAGGAGACTTTACTCTCTATCTGTATAAGTATTATTTAAACAATACTGATCTTTGGATATCGTGTTTACACTCAAAGAACAACCGTGACCGGGACATGAAGCGAGTGGGAGGAGGTTCGGTTCGGAGATGGTTCTGGAAATCTTGACCCTAACTGCAGCTCAGCAGAGTTGTGTGCTCTTGCTGTGCATGTGTGTGTCACAAGGTGGTGGTGCACCATTTTCTTTAACCGTCAAATTCTGTAACTCTAGGTGGCCGAGGTTTCTACTGCCTTAATCTGATGGAACAACAAGATTTTGCAATAACAATGTGTGTGCTATGGGAGTGTTTGGCCTACCAGATTCTTGCCAATAAGCACCCCTACCTACAATAATATTTTTGCCCATTGTCTCTTTGTGTGTATTTGTATGTGTTTGTCTGCTCGTTTGCAAAACAGCTCATTAACCTGTGGATGGATTTGAATGAAACTCTCAGACATAAATCACTGGATTTACAACTACAACTGTTTAACCATTTGGAATCAATCCAATTCAAGATGGCCACCATGGCTAACAAAATCTTCATCTATTTTGCTGATGTTGAGTGAAGATTTCATGTGAAAGTAGCTAAAATTCAATGCATACTCTGGATTCAGCGATATGTTGAGTTATGTATCCTTTTTCTTTTAAGATTTAACTAAATCAGGTGTACGCGTATGTTTTCTCAATTTAAGATAATCTAAGTTTACAACACTGGTATGATACGCGCTTGGTTCATTCTTTTAAAGCAGACCTCTGGAGTTTTTTGTCAAAGGGCACCACCTGGAGGCAAAAAAATGCATTGCATCTGTAGCCCCTCTACCTACCTCTGTGATTTTGGCTGGAAGCAACGTCTCTCCTTCATGAACGCGCACCTCCAGCCAGCCAACAGAACTAAAACACATTGTTGTACAGTTACTATTCTCACGTTATGCTGTTTACTCATTTTTGTCTTTATTTTAGAGACAATGTGTAGTTTTTACTATTAATCTCTGGAAATATCCTTGGAAATGTTGAAAAGGAATTAAATGATGTGCAGTTGTTGAAAAATATTGGCAGCGTTGTATAACCAGAAAAATCGGGTCTAAAATAAATGGGAGTGGGTCTACGTCTCTCTCTCTCTTCCTTCTACGGGAGACCGTGAGGACAAACACATTTACTGATGTCTCATAAACGCTTAGAAAACTTTTGCCATTTATAAACTTTGTTGTTTTACACATGCACCTCTTTGCTTGTTGCCAGTGATGAAAGGTAGTCAGATGTGTCGTTTTGCTAGAGGTTAAATTATCTGATTAATTACTTGATCAAAAATTGCACTCCCAGGGATTTCTGACCCTAATGGCCATCCGTTGGTAAGGTCTTATTCAAACACAAACATACTGCTTGCTTGCAATGATTTGGGTATCTACTGCCCCATATCGCCAGGGAAAATACACACCGTCACTTTAAGACTTAATTGTCCATAAGAAACGTCACCAACCCTGCATCGGTCTAGGTAGGACCTCAAAAGCGAGTGCACGCTCTGTGGTTGACATCTGTAGATGAGCCGATGTCTAACGCTATTGGCTAATGCTGAGTGGAGCTCAATTCAAAATGCATGAGGCTCTATGTGACGGAGGCGGGCTTAGCACACAAAAAAACATGCATAATTGGTGATGGGGTATAACTCTGGATTGTCTCATTGAGGGAGGCTAGGCTTTTTATTTAGTACATATTTCAAAATAACCTTTTATTTATTTTAATGACCTAACTTTTTTTATTGGCTGTGCAAAAGACAACTGTCCATTAATTTTTCAGCTCATAAGGATTGCATTTCTCCCTGATTTGCTCTCTTTCACTCAGATTTTATCCTCTTTACTGTAACCTGTCACTTGTTGATGAAGTTCTTCATGTTCACCCACATTTAGAAGGCTTATCTCATGCCTTTCCTTGCCTGTAGTCTCTCTGAGCGCTGAATCACGTCATCCACTGTGGGAGAACAGCGCATTAACCTCCACTCTCTCTCGCTGACTTGCTGTGTTTATGACTCTGCAGTAACGGCGTCTAGTCTCGGGTGACCATCGTCATCAGCTCCTTTAGACAACACAGGCTGTGCTAGACCGGTGCTGCAGAAAAGTTCAGATCTTCCTGTTCTGATCCAGACAAAAATGAAAATGACCAACATCAACGTAAGGTTTTTGTCCTGATCCGTCGGTGGCCCATTTCCAGCTGAAGCAGAGTGTGCAGATAGATGGAGCAGCAGTGTTATGCTTGTGTCTCAATGCAGCAGAACGAAGCTCTTCAGGAAACTAGCATTCTTTTTGTTTGTCCGCTTAGTTCCGATTCGCCAGTGTTGCACAAACTTGTGTCGTACAAAAGCAAATTCCGATCATCGTTTCAAAAGGAGTTCCATTTATTTGGTTGTAAATGTGCACAAAGTAAACAATAAAGCAGCTTTTTACTTATTTGTGGAGCAGGAGGTGATCTCCGGTCTTTTAGAGGCCAGGCTGGTGAACAGTGTTCTCAGAGAAAACAGCCGCACCTACTCACCCGTTCATGCTAATTTTTACCCAGTTTCACATCATGATAGTACCAGAATAGTTACTGTGCTCTTTAAATGTGCTAGTTAATAGCTGGCTATAACGTTTTTGCCCGTGTTTATGTTCTGATTTTAGATTTAAGTAAATTAAACCAAACTAATCATTTATTTCATTCAGATCAACCTTTTTTTTAAGTGGATTTCCCAATTAAAACACTAGGATGTGACATGCATGTTGCATGTCCTTCCCATCATTTGTTCATCAACCTCTTGCATTAATCTGGTTTGTTTTGCCAGGCTCGGTGCTGGACGTGATCAAGCACATCATGTCACGAGGCGAGCACAAACACGGCGTCCTGGACGAGGCCAGCATAGCCACGGTGCTGAGGGACGTGCTCGAGGGCTTAGAGTACCTCCACAAGAACGGACAGATCCACAGGTAGGCTGCCTCCCACGCTGGGGCCGTAATAAAACTGACACCAGGCCTTTCATCACCGCCAAACACGCATGTTTTATTAGAGCTGAGCGTTCCGGAGGAGATGCTGTCCTGTCCAGTGTCCTTACAGAGACGACACAGGACTCTTTTGTAAACAGATCTTTGTCAAAAAAAAAAAAGGATTTCTACTGTTTAAAGAGCTGCAGGATATTAGATTCTCCTCAGAATGAATTTGCATTTTAATGAGAATTTAAACCTTTTTTTATGCAACTGATATTTTATTTCTGTTTAGGATAAATGTTTCAAATTAAGGCTTTAATAAAGTATTTCAGTGTCTTCTTTAATTTATTCGAACGTTTTATGCAATGCAGTTTATTTAGACGTAAGTAAACAGATCATTATTGCTTTTTGATCAGCTTTTGGCAGCAGCAGCAGCTCTTTTTTTTTCCTGCAGACAGTCTCTCACTGAGCTGCTTGTTGCTATGATAAAGAAACATTTTTGCAACAAGATATTTTGTCTGGCATCTAATAAGAAAGATCCGCTGCTGTTAAAGTAGAAAAACCAAGTTTAACGTACTTAATTGTTGAGGACATTTTATTAGTATATAAGAGGTTTGTGTTATTAATCTTTGTCAAGAGTTGAATCCAAATATCAGGAAGTGGCAATGGTCATTCTAAACAACAGTGGTCTGGTTTATCTTTAACTATTAAGAACTTAACAAGTGATCCAGAAGAAATTTATTGTTTTTCTTTATTAGCTACACACATATTTCACACATGATAGCTGAAAAGGGAAACTGCTGGAAGAGATTTATGGATATACTAACAATTCCAGCTCTGTTGTAATAAACACTGTATATTCGTGTGCATCAGGTGAAATGTGCCACTATTTAAAGCTGAGTTTATAAGCTAGCTAAGCCAATGCACAGGAAAACTCACAAAGGAAAGGAGCAGCGCTGGGCAATAATCGTCTGCTCGCGAAAATACGTACAGCACTGTGCAATCCAGATCATATGAGAGGGGGCTCGGGAGCAGGGCGCCATGAGAACGTGTCACATGAGATGTTGGATCCAGCACAGGATGGCTGAAAACCAATTAGAGCTGTAGGTTTAGGTTCAGCTGGAGACATTTACCGGGCAGCAGCGAACTGTTCCACCTCCTCATTCACAGCAGCTGGGAAACTTGTCCTCCAGCTTTAACAACAGGTTGACACCACACACACACACACACACACACACACACACACGCGCGTGCGCGCGCATGATACAAAAGCAAGAATTTGTAGAGAATTGGCCTCCAGGTTAACCGGGTTTGTTTACATTATGAGCAAACGAGGAGGACTTTATCTGTCTCGGTGAGGAGGGTCGTGTTTGAAACCCAGCAGCATCGACACGGCTATCAAAATCTGTTACGGGGGAGAGAACATTTTATGGTCGAAGGGGTATTCTGAAAAAATAAAACGAGTGGAAAAGGGATTTCATCCTCGCCTGCTGTCCATGAAGCGTCAAATAAACCCTTTTTACGGCCCTGTTAGGAACACGGCGAGCCCAGCACCAGGATGAAATGTCTTAGGAGGCGACCCTGTGGACCTGCGAGGCGCACCGCTGCCAGATGAGAATGATAAATCTCCCTGACACTTTCATGCCTCGGCCGTTCTCACCTGGCCACTAGCTGGCTGTTATTTTACTAGTAGGTCACAAATATGAAGAGACCTATTTTGTTCAGTTTTCTCTCCTTTCTTCACCTAAAATCTCAGGACATGCAGGTTTTTCCTGCACCATATTGTGAATTTCAGGTTAATTTTAACCCATCTGCTACAGTTTTCGCTGTGCGTTGTGTCACCACCTCCTCCTATTCCTCCTCTGTGAACATTAATAGCTGTCTGCAGCTTTTCTGAGTCTGCTGCAGTGAACCTTAACCCCCTACATTCTTTGATCACTCCTCGTGAATCCTGTTGTTTATCATAGTGGAGGATTTTAAAGTGTAAAAAACTTCAGTTTTTAACGTGTTCAGTGAACTTTAACCGGTTGAGCAGCAGCTCGTCTCGTGTCTGCAACAATGGAGCTACTGCCCGCAAATGGTTGGTTTAGAAATGGTTTAGGAAGAGGGGAGATGTTCAGATGTAGCATTTTTGTACTTTGTTGCAGCAATATCTTCCAATTAAAAGCTGTAGCGTAACCAGAAACTGCTTTTCAGCTGGGCCTAATTAAAAACAACAGGTGGGTCAAATTAAGGATAGGCCGATGAATGTGATCATGGAGTGTGCAATAATGCCCAAAATATTTATCACATTATTTCTGAGCATTTTGGCGATGATGATAAATCTGAAGATATAACAAAGTACAAAAATGTTGTTGATATTCATTCAATATTTCTTGGCCAGAAGTACTAGGGCCCTACATGGACAAGCACCATCTTACATTGGTGATCTTCTTAGTCCCTACACGCCCAGCAGGTCCCTGAGGTCCAGTGATCAAAGCCTACTGGTTGTGCAACGCACCAGACTTAAGACCAAAGGTGACAGATCATTTGCTGCTGTGGCCCCCAGACTCTGGACCTCTCTCCCCCTGAGCCTGAGATCAGTGGACTCAGTGGTCTCCTTTAAAAAGCAGCTGAAGACTCACTTGTTCAAGCTGGCTTTTGTGTGACTTTCTTCACCATCTCTCTCTATTCTGCTCTCCCACCTATTCCACCTTCCTCAGGATCCACTGATTTCCCTCTTTCCTATTCACTCTCTCTCTCTCTTTTTTTACATTTTTTAATCACAATTGTCTATTTTTTGCTCATTTTAAATATATTTTTAACCATTTTCTAAATTCTTTTTTATATTTTAACATTTTTTGATTTTGTGAAGCGCCTCGTGATTTTTATCTTGAGAGGCGCTATAGAAAAGATATTTTCTTCTATGAAATGCTTTTTATTTATTTTTCCAAAATTCCTTTTTTCCCATTTTTATTTTGCTGAATTTCCTATTTCCATTCTAACCAGTGGCGACGCACCGGGACCTTAGGGGGTGCTTCCCTCCCTGATTTGAAGGGAGAATAAACATCTAAAAATTAAATAAAATTACAATATATATTCATATATTTACTATAAACGTGCTTAAACAGTGACATTCCTCCACCAGACTCACCAGTTTCACCCCTGGGGCGCTGGAAAAAGCGCCTCTGAGCTGCAGCTAAACAGCCAGTCATATTTGGTTGCTAGGGAGAACTGGAGAATTTTGGGCTAATCAGCATCTGTAAATGTAATCTGTCTGGGGCACTGGCCAACAGCTATTTAGCATGCTACAAGGTGCTGGATCTCATTTTCACTCTGTTACTTTTCCCCTCTCTCTCTCTCTCTCTCTCTCTCTCTCTCTCTCTCTCTCTCTCTCTCTCTCTCTCTCTCTCTCTCTCTCTCTCTCTCTCTCTCTCTCTCTCTCTCTCTCTCACTCACTCACTCACTCACTCACTCACTCACTCACTCACTCACTCACACACACACACACACACACACACACACACAGTTGGTTTGATATAAAGCAGAAATCACAGCTGTTGCTGTAAATTGTGTTTTATTTCTTCACATTTGATGTCATCATATTGTTATATCTAATTCATCTTGTAAGTTGTGTTACTGCCTCCTACTGGCCAAACTGAGTCAGTAGCCGGCATTCAAATGGTAACTTTAAATTTTCTCGAATATAACAAAGTCCTGTGGTTCTGCAGAACTCTGAGTACTTTTGCAAGAACTATTCTACTCATCTTTATATTAAACAATGCAATTCATGATTATTTACATGCAAAATCAGGTGTTGCTTAGTTTTGCAGTCGATTAAGAGATGTGGTAAATATATTTGTCTTATCTATAGTCAGAACCCAAAGGAGTGTTTTTGTAAGATTCTGAGTCAAATTTATCCCTTCCATCTTAGTTGGTTTGCTCAACGTTAAAGGGTCAAGGGTGAGTGTTTTCCATCCGTGAAAACAGAAAGTGAGAAAAGCAGGGAGGTGCTGTAACCCAGCTGTGAGGTGACAGCCTGGGAAGCTGCAGCGATGTTGAGCCTGGATCAGTCATGTTGATTCCTGCAAACTAAATCCTTAGTGTGAGCGTTGTGTCTGCACATGTCAGATCCGACCTCACATCAACCACAAACAGCTATTTTATATTTGAGCCGATTTCTTTAACTTTAGCTTGAGCCACCCACTGAGGTGGGACTCCATACCTGCTTTCATTCGTCTCTTTGGAGCTCCGTGTTTGCCGATCCCTGCTCCTGCCTCTCCACTGGAGTGTGCAGCAGCAGACAGCAGTCTGAGCTGCTGCCTGCTAACACTTAAGGTTCCTTTTTAGTGCGTTATTTCCTTCAAAAAGAGGCTACTCGAGATGATTTGAAGCTGCAGAAAAAATATTTCGAGAAAACCATATCATAGTTTTAACCTTTCAATCTGACAGTTTATATTTAATATAAATACTAAAACATTACAAACAAAATGATCAGTTAGTTGAAATGTTTAATATGTGCACTTTTTCATCAATACATTTTAATTTTATAAGGCTTCCAGTTTTAAGTGGCAAATTCTGTGCAACAGTGCCCCTATCAGGCAGCCAGAGGAACAGCGTGATTGTCTAAGATTTAATCATGATGCCAGCGCCTCATAAAATTAAAACTAAACATGTAACCCTGACTCTTTGTGGTTTAACTGTTTTTTTTCTTCACATTTTTTTATTAAAATCTGCATTAATTTCCCCCAAATACCCAATAGAAGGGATCCTTCTTAGTTGGAAACATCTGCCGTCCTCACTTGCCTTTTGATTGACCCTGTCTCGGAAAGTCTGTTGCTATGGTGATGCTGTCTGGCTGGCAAGATGACAGCATCGGCTGCATTCGGCAGACAGACAGGCAGTCAGACAGCTGTCCCCGCTGAATCCTCTAATCGCCACCAGGGGAGGCAGAACAAGGGCGAGCGAATAAGCCACAGGCTCTGCATGAATAAAGTCATAAAAAAACAAAGTTAGGATTGTTTGATGCAGAACTTGGCAAAAAAAGCATGTTTTACATCCGCTTGTTTCATTTTCTTTTGCAGAGATTTGAAGGCTGGAAATATTCTCCTTGGAGAAGATGGCTCGGTGCAGATTGCAGGTATTTTTCCAAGTGACCCTTAATGGGCGGGTTTATCAATCTAGGAAAATCCGCTCTTCCCCCAGAAGTGTTCCTCATCTTCTTCTCTCCCTCAGACTTTGGCGTCAGTGCCTTTCTAGCCACAGGTGGTGACATGACCCGAAACAAAGTGCGCAAGACGTTTGTGGGGACGCCATGCTGGATGGCCCCCGAGGTCATGGAGCAGGTCGGTCACGGAATACAAATGTCTGCATTTGCAGGTTATTTTATTGTATTTATAGCAATAAAGGCACGAGAAAACAGAGATTTTTTGCCTACCTTTAGGAGAAGGGTTATGATTTCAAAGCGGATATTTGGAGTTTTGGTATCACAGCCATTGAGCTTGCCACTGGAGCTGCACCTTATCACAAATACCCACCAATGAAGGTAAAACAACAAGAAGAAGCATGCTAATTTGTCATGTTGTATCATAGTCTCTCTTATTATAGATAATTTGTCATTTCATAGATTCTTGATGAGGATTTCTTGTGTTTTCAGGTATTGATGCTGACGCTGCAGAACGATCCTCCAACTCTGGAAACGGGGATCGCAGACAAGGAGATGGTAAAGAAATACGCCAAGTCTTTCAGGAAGATGATCTCTCAGTGTCTACAGAGGGAACCCGAAAAACGGTGATCACACTACACTTTCTTTACCTTAGCTTAATGGAAATCAACAAACTGAGAGAGGTTTGAGGTTTAGTGGGTCTGGAGAAGGCCGTACCTGCTCCAGTACCAAAGAGGTGCGAGTCGAGGTCGACCCAGGACACTGGAGGCAAAATAAGCCTAGGCTGGCCAAGGAACACCTGAGGTCTCACTAGAGGAGTTGGTGGAAGTGTCTGGGGATTAATGATGGATTGATGATGAATAAATCAGTTGATTGCTGCAGAAATATAAGTGCTCTGAAGCTGGCATGACGACTCCTGTTAATCTGCTCTTTTTCAGACCAACATCATCCGAGTTGCTGAAGCATAAATTCTTTCAGAAAGCAAAGGTAGGTGAAGGACATCCGTCTGGATGCAGGTCATGAGGTTCATCCCTGAGCTGTTGTGTCTGAGGCCATTGCAGCATTGCTCTTATTGATGGATGTATGCAACAGCCTTCGTATCATAGCAACAGGAACAAGCAGAGTGCAGAGTCAGCGACTTGCAGAGCTCCAATGCTGGATGTTCAACTCGATAACTGCAATACTTTGTGTGAACAGCAGATGGCAGGCTTTATTTTAAATTCAAACCAAAGTTTTCTAACGATTTAAAAGTAACTGAACCGAAGGAGATTTGAAGGCAGAGAACAATACACAAGTCTCACTAATGTTTTTTTTTTCTCATGACAGAACCACGAGTACTTACTGGAGAAGCTGCTCCAAAGGGCGCCCACAATAACGGAGAGGTCCAAAAGGGTAAGGTGGCAAGGAAAAAACCTGCTGCTTGCGAATTTATAAAAAAAAAAAAACAGTCATGAAGGAGCTGAGTTCTGTGCACAAATGTGCATCAGGTCCGCCGAGTCCCCGGCTCCAGCGGACGACTGCATAAAACGGTGGACGGCGAGTGGGAGTGGAGTGATGATGAGCTGGACGAAGAAAGCGAAGAGGGCAAAGCAGCCGTTGCAGCTTTAAGAGTGAGACGACCTCACCTGATCCTCCGCACACATGAATATCATGTCTCTGAACTGCTGTTTAAACTGTCATTTTCATGTCTGCTGCAGCATGTTCGTCCATTGTCTCTCCACTGAGTGTCCCCTGTTTGTGTATGTGTGTGTGTGTGTGTCTGTGTGTGTGTTCTGATGGCAAAGGAGCAGCAGGTGAAGCCTGTTAGTGGCCCCAGGCGACAAGTGCGCTTCTCCTATCCGCTCGAGCTGCCTGCACCCAGGGTTGTTCACTTGTCACCATAATACAGATGGCTTTCCCCTAACAAGGAAGGACTCTCACTTGTTAGCAGGAGCTCCTATGACAGCTGGGTGGAACAGGAGAGGCGGTTTAATAGTCATTAGTGTGAGGAGCAATGGGTAAAACAACCTGTAGGAACAGGAAATGGCTTTATTGACCATATTAGGTGTCTTAAAAAAGCTAAACGACCATGTAAAGTCAATCTGTGTCATTCTCTAAAGATCTAATGTCCTGATGTACAGAAATATATCAAATAGAGAAACATGTCCATTTGCCTTCTTGTTTTTTACTAACAGGGTTTGTAAAGCTGCAGCTCATTCTTATTTAGATTTAAAGCCATACTGTGCACATTTTTCATATTTTTAAATCATTTTCTTGAGCCAGTATGCGCTAAAATGACCTTTACAGGGTTGATGAAATGTCCCACGACCCTCTGTGGCCAGAATAACGCATTTGCAACTTCAGACTAGCGGGCCGCCTTCTGTTGGAAGAAAAGTAGCTGACATACCTGGCGCTGCAGTCTGCTTCCAGCACGTTTCCTGCATGTGTTAGATCATGAAAGCTGCTCATTTGTTTCATTTAGTGATAAATCACTCCTGTAGACACTAATGAAGGCTGCAAGACATTTCAGCTTTTAGAATAAGATGGTAATAAGACGAAAGCACAGATAGATTTTCGGTTTAACCACAGAGAATTAATAATGGACAGTAGGAGGTGCCAAAAGCAAGCAGAACTGCCAAGTGTGCCTTTAAAGACGCATCAGTGAGAGTTTCCTGTCCTGGAAGCCATCTGTATTCACTTTTCCTGATATTTATACTCACCGCAGTCTAATGAAAACACGAAAGATTCACTGATGAGTTCTGAAATGATCCTAAAACGAAGAATTAACAACCACCGAGCACCTGAAATTTATCTGCGTCACCTCCTTTTGTTCTGCTTTGTAATCGGCTGCATGTTGGCAAACTGAGCTCCTGTTTAGTGGATGTTACAGCCTTCTTCCTGCTCCAAACATCTCTATTTTACTCCCTGTTTCTGCAACACAAAGCAGCTTTAGTCTTTTATGAGTTAAAACTCCGGTTTCTCTGATTTAATCGTAGACATCAGGTCAGGCAGACAGGTCAGTTTGTCTCCATTTAGCCTGCTGTACTTGTTCCCATCTACTTTCCCTGGAATTTGATTAAACTTGACTTTTCTGTTCTAGATGACCAGTTTGACCACGTAATAGTGACTAATAGTAATTTTAAATTAATATAATATTGTTTTTCTGCAACTAAAAATTTAATTGCAGTTATCAAATGATGTGCGATCACTCGTTTACAGCTTCTATGTGTATATTAGCCACAACATTAAAACACCTCAAAGATGATGTGGGTTAAGTTATCTCGGTAATAGGCGCGGGCAATATAACTTTATTGAGCTCCAGTGATATAAAACCCATCCACCACATCCTCCCTCCTCACCTTTTGTCCTTTGTAGAAATGTGCAAGTCAGAAAAATACAAACAGAAAAAGTGAAATTTGGGAGAAAATAAAATTGATTTTGCGGAGCTTTTATTAGGATTGTAAGAAAATACTGCTACACTGAAATGTTGCAGTATTTAAAGTTTCGATACAGAATCAAGATTTTAAATCCGTGTGTCGATTTTATTGAGAATTTACATGTAAACATTTATTGTGCTTTTTTGGCATGCAATTCAAAGTCCCACTGCTAGGTGGCAGCAGTTTTTACTAACCTTCATTCTTATGAAACGAGATCTTGTGATATCCTTTTTATGTGCCTAAAGTCTCCTCTTCACCGGACGTGAAAGTGTCACGAATCGGCCGCCTCTGTTATAGGGAGCCTAAATAAATGAATGCAAGTCAACGGGGCTAAAAACGACCCTGGATCGCACATATGTTGAACTGCAATTTAAATGAAAAGTAATGATGGGTGTGTCCACCACGCCAGTCACGCACTTTGAGATTTATTAGCTTGTAAAAGTTCGTAATTAGCATGAATACAAACTAGAAATTGGCACGTCGCATATATGGCGTCACCACATAATCTCTCCCCTAACGTAGCTGCTACTTACCAAATGACCGGATTTATGGTGGTTTTTTCCTTTTGTGGGAAGTTTGCTGAACTTACATCCATTTCCCCTCAGTTTTCTCCGTGTCTGGTTCGATGACGTCACTTTCATGAAGCGCATTTGTAGTCCTGTGCTGTGTGTCAATTCAGGGTCTGCATTCTTCAAAGGACCCAGCCTACTCGGCCGACGTGGGCTGGGTCCTCAGTCGGCCGAGTAGACCGGATGTTAACGGCTGTGAATTTGGACAGGCCTAGCCTTCATGAATTCCCGCCACTCCCTCGGTGAACGTTCTGTCGCCTAGCAACCGTGGAACCGCTGAGCAGAAGGGAGAAGGAACTTTAAACGATGGAGCTCGAAGTTTTATTTAGCTTTTTAATCATTTCCTTGACCATTGGAGAGCTAATTCAGAGAAAATACTTTCGACAAGCTGAGCCTGAGCAAAGATGCGATCATAGTTTTTAATACTTTCTAAGGGTCTTAATTTGACCAAAACCGATTTATCACCTTTTAAGACTTTTCAAGACCCAGCGGATACCCTCTAGTAAACAATTCTCATTTGTAAACAAAAATAAAATTCAAGTGTTTAATACAGAACTGATTTTATGTAGATATTTCTTTTATATGTACATGTTTAATCTTTCTTAACCATTTTTTTCTAGCAAAGTAAAAAGCTGTCAAAATTCTCCCTTCTCTCCTGTGCCCTCTGCTGCTCTGCCTCCCTCTGCAGCCTCATGTCCTCCCTGATCAGCTCCAGAAGCTGGTCATCGCTGGCACCTTCCCCATGATGCCCATTTTCTCCAGAATAGTCTTAACAAACATGTAAGAAAAAAAACAGGAAGATAAAAGGGGACAACGGGTTATTCCTTTCATGTTTTCGCAGAAAAAAATGAACTCAAACGAGTTTTTAAAATATGAGATGTTATTGTACCTCCATGCCACAGCCGCCGAATACTTTGCTCCAGTGATCATGTGGTCCATCTCCGCCCTAAGCATAATAAATTCCCTGGTTTTCTCTTTTGTCCCTAAAATACAAACTTCTATTAAAATCAGGGGGGAAATGTAGCGGGAGAAGTATGACACCAAGCGGCCGAACATACGAGCCGAGACCGCAATACAAGCACTTTTACTGTAACATTTCTAACTAAAATAACGTTCATGTATCACCAAAAGTCCTTAACCTAACAGTTTTCAAGTTTATGTTGACATTAAATGCGCAATCCTCTCTGACAGCTCCCGCTTCACTGTCCGCCATTGTTTTTAAAAGTTCTGCTGTCCGACCCGCAAGGCATCTTGGGAAGTGTAAACCATTGAAGGATACACCGGACCCATCCTTCATGCAGGCGAAAAGAAGGCCGAATTCGTCGACCACATTTGAAGGAGTCTTCGAATTGGGACAGGCCTAGTCGCGGCGCTGTGACGTAACTGGCCGACGAATCCGGCCGACGAAGGATGCAGACCCTGAATTGAGACACGGCCCTGGACTTATTTTCACACAAAACCTAAAATAGGGTTTACCCCTATTCGAAAATAAGCACGTTCTTGGTATCAAAATGTGTCTTTAAAATTCACGGACATCATATGTGAAATCCATGGCACAAAACAAGCAGAATTAGAAAATAACATTTTTAGCCCCGTTGACTTGCATACATTTTTTCGTTCTTCCGGGGACCCATGGTGCAGAAGTAGATGGGTGTGACTTAGGCTTCCTGTAGTGAGCAGTTTCCTTTCCGTCAGCGACAACGTTTTGGATACATCCCAGAAGTAAAGGGACGCTATCATTACGGTTTGAGTCAAATTTTTATCCAAAATATGTCAAACTCAGCAGCTCAGATCGCACCAGACAGGAAATGAACACGAAAGCAGTGTAAAACATCCAGAAACTTTCAAAATAAAAGTCATGTGCAGTACCTATTTTATTGTGAAACCCCTGTAGCTGATGTAAACCACAGACCTTTTTGGATATGTGCAGCTGTCTTTCTCCTTGCTTGTTACTGTGTGGACTTCTGAGCTCACGTGTGGTGTTGCAATTCTCCCGTGACTTTATGACTGCACGGGATCAGCTGTGTGGAATGCTATTGTTCCTGTTTCGCATCAAAATTGTTCCCAGTTGAAAGGGAGCTTGCAGATAAAATGCCACAATTTCATTACACGCCGCTTTCACATCTGGTAGGAAGGAGGCTATAGAAGCATCTGGCCTGAGTTTCCAATTAAATTCAGTCTTAAAAATTGCAAATATTGTCTGGCTGTCAGTATCGTAATATATTGTATCACCAGATTCTTGCCAATACCCCCCCCCCCCCCCCCCCCGCCCTAACCTCCCTGCTGAAGAATTAATGAATGATTATCACATTTTTGTATTTGTTATTTTGTGAGATTAATCATTATTGTCAAAATATTATTGGTACAATGACAGCTTTTATGTGTTAGATTACAAGTTAACTGGCAGAATGAAGCATAAAATGTAGGATTTTATGAATAAGCTGGATGAGATGGGTAGATAACTGGTTCAGAGTGAACACAGCTGGCATTTCCTGTTTGTTTTGGTTAAAAGTCATAAGATGTCATCCAGAAAAAGGACAACTGGTTAAAAGCTTGTCCAAAAGAGCCACTGATGCTTCCTGCAGATGGATCTGACTTTGATGTTTTGGGATTATATCCCAAGTGTGAGCAAGCTAACCCTAACCTTAAAGCACCAGAAATCAAGAAAGCATGGCCTTAAGAATAATTGAAAAATCAATGTTTTAAAAAGAAAGTTGGGCTTGATCCTGGGCATTATCAATCCTGTAGTTTGGTCCATAATTTTAGTTCATAATTGTGTTTATTTGTAGTTTATGTCTTTGTTGTTTGGTTAATTTTCACATTGAGAAAACTACAAACGACACAATGACTACAAAGTAGGTGAGAACGTCCAGTCTACTGATTGGTCAAATCAATTATGGGTGGTGCTACCAAAGGTTCTTAGTTCTGATCCTAACCTTCAACCACCCCTCCTTTATGAATCAGAGCTGATAAACATAGTCATCTGCCCAAATATTTACATGTGTTTATTTTTGTCCATGCTGCATTTTCAGCTAGCTAAGAGCTACTCTCTAGTAACTGATGTTTTGCATCCCAGAATGCAATGCAAACCTGACACAGGAAGACGTCTAGCTCAAACTTGCAGCCTACATAAGTTCATCTTGGGTCGAGGGTCGGACCACGAAGATTTTTGAAGTGTTTTTTTTTTCAGACCATGAGTCTTGAATTTTTGTGTGCAAGTATTAATAAAGTACAAAAAATAATAGAATGACTATTCACAGATCTACATTATTAGTAACTACCATCGCTAAAACCAAAACCACTAAAACAGAGATGGACGGACACATCTCTTGGTACAGACTATTGTTCTCTGGATCTGTGAACATTTCAACCCTCTAAAATATATTACTGTAATGTACCGCATGTCAGTGGAAGTCTAAGATTCTTAGCTTCCAGAATCAGTTTGAGCTGCATTTCTAGTGTAAAGGGAAACAAAGGCATGGTGATTTAAACTATGAAACAAAACGCAACCGGAACTCTTCATAGGGCTTGTGGTTTTATTGTTGTGGCAGATAAGTTTGGACTCTACAGAACAAAGGGACAAATACATTTGTGGAAATGTTTCTGTAGATTTAAGATATTTTACTCCCAAGCTACTATGGATGTAAGAAAATATCAATATGGCAATATATCACGATATTATTTCCTGCGATATTACATCGATATTCAAAAGCCATGTATCTATCAGAATTTTTTGGAAGAATTTACATGCAAACATTTTTGTATTTTCTTTTCTTTTGGTGCAATTCAAATGCTGACCACTGGTTGGCAGCAGAGTGCAGTTGGTTTTGTTTTCACCATTTAAATGTAAGTCCCTTTATTATGGTTCAGATACCTCATATTAAAGAGGTAACATATCAGTTTGGACTGTTTATTGAATTTTCCTACAATAAATTCACTCTAAAAAATTTGCTAAGATCATCTTGCTGAATGTTTCGCAATATATCGCGATAAATCATATCGTCTCCCCTGTATGATGCATATTGCATCACCTGTATTTCACCAATACACCTCCCTATAAGCCACTGTGGTACAAAGGTAATGTAAATGTAGTATTCTCATGAGCCAGGTGTAGATTCTGGTCGGGGGTCATGCCGAGAAAATGGTGAGAGATTTTGTCAGCTTACTACACATTATTATGTAGCACAAATTTAAAAACGTATCAGATCACATGTTCACTGTATCATTCAACGACAAAACCATAATAAATCAGTGACTAAAGTAAACGAGTGATCACTTAATCTGTTAACCTCTTTTGATTTTTACATCTTTATATTCAAGCATGCTGCTTTCGCTTCTACTAAAGTCGTCACCATGACGACCCCTTCCTGACAACGTTTTCTTTTGTTAACAGTCGCCACGAGTGAAGGAAGGAGCACATAATCCAGAGGTGAGTTCAAAAGAGCCAATTGAAGCCCGTTTAGGTGGAAGTAAAAACTCATTTGTGAGGTGATGTAAAGTATCAGGTGTGTAATAGTTAAAGTACTGGATTAAGCTGTGCTGGATTAAGAAAAGAAGTCTGAGACGTTGGGCTGACCCCGGCTTTCCATCAGATGTGTAACTGTTAGCGTAATATGCAGCAAGTAGCTGCCGTTACAGCAGATGTGTTGTTTCCACCCATTGGAATGGTGCATCTTTAACAGCTCCAGAGGCGTTGTCAGGGTGTTCCACTAAACTTACACTGTAACCCTTTTTGTGTGTCAGATGTTCCAGACTCCTGAACCTTTAAGTAGTCACCTTCAGCCGACGGCCACGGGTCGGGCTGAACTACCTCAGGCTGCCGGCCAGCTCCCACTGCAGCCCACACAAATCAACGCCCAACCCGCTCCCCTGCCCATTCCTTCCCTGCAAAGTGTTCCCTCTCAGGCCAGTAAAGCACAACTTCACGTATCGTTTGTTTATTTCAAGGCAAATTATCAGTTTTAAATAGATTAAAACTACCAAATATTACCCGAGCGCAGCCACAGCTGCAGATCACAGCTCCTCACGGGCATGGGTCAAATGCATAGATGAATTTCACCAGTGTGTGATGACTAATGGGACTTTAATTTGTTCCAACAGATTCCATTAGCCTCAGGTGACATTCCCACTCCCATTAGTTTGGTATTAAGGTTAAGGTATGTTTCTCTGTTTAGGATAAAAAATATGAACCCAGAAGCTGTTTTTCATGTCTTTACTCCAAAAAATGTTTTCTTTGATGTTATTCCCCCCACCCAGAAATCCAAAGAAGGAGCTAAATGATATCCGCTTTGAGTTTATGCCCGGACGAGGTAAGAGGACTTGGCACAAATCTATTAACAACTCCAATGTTTGAGTATTTCTCATTTCATTTTTGTGCTTTTCCATTGTAGAAATTAAAATCTTCAGGCCATGGACACACGTAGCAGTGTTTTTGTAAATCCTAATATCCTGCGCCGCCCATCTAGGAAAACAAACGTGTGTCCGCACCACCTCGGTTTGATCAAAAACATTAGTACATTGAGAAGCGCATTTATAGACATGCCAAGCCTTTAGGTGGCGGTAGTTCCCTAAATTGTCTACGTCTTTGATTTGTCCAGGCAAAACATTCCCTGGAAAGTTTCGCTGATTCGCTGAGCAGTCGTAGATGAGAAAATAAAACATGTTCTAAAGCTTCTGGTTACATTGGTTTTCCATCTCAGTACCCAGAGGCCTCAAAACACAAAATAAGAGGCTATATCAGCTTATTTCCTGTTTTTCCACTGAAGACAGAAGGTTCTGAGTGTGGATTTGAACTATGTCTAGAAATTATTAAGCAGCAGTTTTAATTATTTTGTTTTTGTTCATTTGGGGTTTTCAGACACAGCAGATGGTGTGTCCCAGGAGCTGGTGTCAGCAGGTCTGGTGGATGGAAAGGACTTAATAGTAGGTTAGTGATTGAACCTTTCTCCTGAACTTTTCTCAGAACAATCGAGTGAAAGTTAAAAATTACATTTTGACCTGTTTCATTGTGAGGTTTTATGGAACAGGGTGACCGTTGACCCTGACTCTTATCTCTCATAACATAACTTCTGGCACTTCCTGTAAATATTATTGTTCCTTGTCTCGTCTCCATTGGCGATGGAACCATTGGGCCTCTTCTGCTCTAGTCTCCTCCAAATATCTGAATACCAGTGAATGTCTGAAAATCATCAGCCTATTTTATAAACGTTTTTAAACAATTGCCAATTTCAGTGAACACTCTTTATGATCTTTATTAAACACCCCTGACTTAACACATGGGGTAATGCATGGCCAGGATCCAAAACTGTCTACTGGTGATTTTAAAAAGAACAACAGGGTTTAGAAACTGCATTTTAAACAGTGTTTATAAATTATGTTGGAACAGTGACACTGAAGGTTGCTTTATGCAGTGTTTTGACCTATTATAATTAAGTGATGGAGATTAAAAACACAAACTTAGGAAGATGAGGGGGTGAGCTCACATTATTCCACTGCTAGTGACATTTCAACCATGGAATTAGTGGTTACTTGTGTCCTCTGATTTTGGATTCAACAAATTATGGCTGTTTCATAATTGACTTAACACAAACTCATATATATATATATGTGTGTGTGTGTGTGTGTGTATATATATGTATATATATATATATATATATATATATATATATATATATATATATGTGTGTGTGTGTGTGTGTGTGTGTGTGTGTGTGTGTGTGTGTGTGTGTGTATATATACATATATATATATATATATATGTATGTGTGTATATGTGTGTGTATATATATATGTGTGTGTGTGTGTGTGTGTGAGTATATATATGTGTGTGTGTGTAAATGTGTGTGTATATATGTATATATATACATACAGGTGCTGGCCAGTAAATTAGAATATCATCAAAAGGTTGAAAATATTTCAGTAATTCCATTCAAAACGTGAAACTTGTACATTATATTCATGCAATGCACACAGACCAATGTATTTCCAATGTTCATTACATTTAAATTTGATATTCATAAGTGACAACTAATGAAAACTCCAAATTTGGTATCTCAAAAAATTAGAATATTCTGAAAAGGCTGAATATAGAAGACACCTGCTGCCACTCTAATCAGCTGATTTACTCAAAACACCTGCAAAGGCCTTTAAAAGGTCCCTCAGTCTTGTTTTGAAGGCACCACAATCATGGGGAAGACATCTGACTTAACAGCTGTCCAAAAGACAATCATTGACACCTTGCACAAGGAGGGCAAGACACAAAAGGTGATTGCTAAAGAAGCTGGCTGTTCGCAGAGCTCTGTGTCCAAGCACATTAACAGACAGGCGAAGGGACGGAAAAAATGTGGTAGAAAAAAGTGTACAAGCTCTAGGGATAACCGCACCCTGCAGAGAATTGTGACGACAAACCCATTCAAAAATGTGGGGGAGATCCACAAAGAGTGGACTGCAGCTGGAGTCAGCGCTTCAAGAACCACCACGAGGAGACTCATGAAAGACATGGGATTCAGGTGTCGCATTCCGTGTGTCAAGCCACTCTTGAACAAGAAACAGCGCAAGAAGTGTCCCGCCTGGGCCAAGGACAAAAAGGACTGGACTGATGCTGAGTGGTCCAAAGTTATGTTTTCTGATGAAAGCAAGTTCTGCATTTCCTTTGGAAATCAAGGACCCAGAGTCTGGAGGAAGAGCGGAGAAGCACAGAATCCACGTTGCATGAGGTCCAGTGTAAAGTTTCCACCGTCAGTGATGGTGTGGGGTGCCATGTCATCTGCCGGTGTTGGCCCACTCTGTTTCCTGAGGTCCAGGGTCAATGCAGCCGTCTACCAGGAAGTTTTAGAGCACTTCATGCTTCCTGCTGCTGACCAACTTTATGGGGATGCAGACTTCACCTTTCAACAGGACTTGGCACCTGCACACAGTGCCAAAACCACCAGCACCTGGTTCAAGGACCATGGTATCCCTGTCCTTGATTGGCCAGCAAACTCACCTGACCTTAACCCCATAGAAAATCTATGGGGTATTGTGAAGCGGAGGATGCAATACGCTAGACCCAACAATGCAGAGGAGCTGAAGACGACTATCAGAGCAACCTGGGCTCTCATAACACCTGAGCAGTGCCACAGACTGATCGAGTCCATGCCACGCCGCATTACTGCAGTTATTGAGGCAAAAGGAGCCCCGACTAAGTATTGAGTGCTATACATGCACATTCTTTTCATGTTCATTCTTTTCAGTTGGCCAACATTAGAGAAACAAATATTTTTTCATTGGCCTTTAGAATATTCTAATTTTCTGAGATACCAGATTTGATGTTTTCATTGGTTGTCACCTATAAATATCAAAATTAAACGTAATAAACATCGGAAATACATTGGTCTGTGTGCATTGCATGAATATAATGTACAAGTTTCACGTTTTGAATGGAATTACTGAAATATTTTCAACCTTTTGATGATATTCTAATTTACTGGCCAGCACCTGTATATATATACATATATATATATATATATATATATATATATATATATATATATATATATATATACATATATATATACACACACACACACACACACACAGGGAGTGCAGAATTATTAGGCAAATGAGTATTTTGTCCACATCATCCTCTTCATGCATGTTGTCTTACTCCAAGCTGTATAGGCTCGAAAGCCTACTACCAATTAAGCATATTAGGTGATGTGCGTCTCTGTAATGAGAAGGGGTGTGGTCTAATGACATCAACACCCTATATCAGGTGTGCATAATTATTAGGCAACTTCCTTTCCTTTGGCAAAATGGGTCAAAAGAAGGACTTGACAGGCTCAGAAAAGTCAAAAATAGTGAGATATCTTGCAGAGGGATGCAGCAGTCTTAAAATTGCAAAGTTTCTGAAGCGTGATCATCAAACAATCAAGCGTCTCATTCTAAATAGTCAACAGGGTCGCAAGAAGCGTGTGGACAAACCAAGGCGCAAAATAACTGCCCATGAACTGAGAAAAGTCAAGCGTGCAGCTGCCAAGATGCCACTTGCCACCAGTCTGGCCATCTTTCAGAGCTGCAACATCAATGGAGTGCCCAAAAGCACAAGGTGTGCAATACTCAGAGACATGGCCAAGGTAAGAAAGGCTGAAAGACGACCACCACTGAACAAGACACACAAGCTGAAATGTCAAGACTGAGCCAAGAAATATCTCAAGACTGATTTTTCTAAGGTTTTATGGACTGATGAAATGAGAGTGAGTCTTGATGGGCCAGATGGATGGGCCCGTGGCTGGACTGGTAAAGGGCAGAGAGCTCCAGTCCGACTCAGACGCCAGCAAAGTGGAGGTGGAGTACTGGTTTGGGCTGGTATCATCAAAGATGAGCTTGTGGGGCCTTTTCGGGTTGAGGATGGAGTCGAGCTCAACTCCCAGTCCTACTGCCAGTTTCTGGAAGACACCTTCTTCAAGCAGTGGTACAGGAAGAAGTCTGCATCCTTCAAGAAAAACCTGATTTTCATGCAGGACAATGCTCCATCACACGCGTCCAAGTACTCCACAGCGTGGCTGGCAAGAAAGGGTATAAAAGAAGAAAAACTAATGACATGGCCTCCTTGTTCACCTGATCTGAACCCCATTGAGAACCTGTGGTCCATCATCAAATGTGAGATTTACAAGGAGGTAAAACAGTACACCTCTCTGAACAGTGTCTGGGAGGCTGTGGTTGCTGCTGCACGCAATGTTGATGGTGAACAGATCAAAACACTGACAGAATCCATGGATGGCAGGCTTTTGAGTGTCCTTGCAAAGAAAGGTGGCTATTTTGGTCGCTGATTTGTTTTTGTATTGTTTTTGAATGTCAGAAATGTATATTTGTGAATGTGGAGATGTTATATTGGTTTCACAGGTAAAAATAAATTATTGAAATGGGTATATATTTGTTTTTTGTTAAGTTGCCTAATAATTATGCACAGTAATAGTCACCTGCACACACAGATATCCCCCTAAAATAGCTCAAACTAAAAACTACTTCCAAAAATATTCAGCTTTGATATTAATGAGTTTTTTGGGTTCATTGAGAACATGGTTGTTGTTCAATAATAAAATTATTCCTCAAAAATACAACTTGCCTAATAATTCTGCACTCCCTGTGTGTATATATATATATATATATATATATATATATATATATATGTATATGCATATGTATATATGTATATGTATATGCATATGTATATATGTATATGTATATGCATATGTATATATGTATATGTATATATATATATGTATATATATATATATATATGTGTATATATATGTATATATATATATATATATATATATATATATATATATATATATGTATATATGTATATATATATGTATATATGTATATATATATATATATATGTGTGTGTGTATGTATATGTATGTATATGTATATATATATATATATATATATATATATATATATATATGTGTGTGTGTGTGTGTGTGTGTGTGTGTGTGTGTATATATGTGTATTTATATATTGCAGGTAAAATACTAATGTCACCCATAAAGCCTCTCAGTTTGATCTGTTCTTGTGATTTTTTTGGACTGAAGCATCGTTTATCTTTTCAGTTGCTGCAAATTTGCAGAAAATAGTCGATGAGCCTCAACCCAACAAAAATCTCACTTTCAAGCTGGTGAGTGGAGCTTTTTTATTATATTTAGACTTATTGTTGGGGTTATTTTATTTGCTTTTTAAAATCAGTTTTAATACTATCGGATACATTTAAGATATTTTCCTTTTCTTAGTCTTGTGGATATTTGTATGAATGGTAAAAATAAATTAAATATTTTAGTATCAAGGATAAATAAATGTTTATTTTTATAATATTCTGTAATTTTTGTCTATTTATTTGCTTGCTCTCCATTTTCCTTCACCCTACCCCCTCCAGGCTTCTGGAATGGAGGGATCTGAAATTCCAGACGACACTAAGTTGATGGGCTTCGCTCAGCTCACCATTTGTTAACCTGTTGTTCTACCTGGGACCGTGACTTGCCTCAAAAATGTGAAAATTAAAAAAAAAAATTCTATTTTCCTCTTTCCATAGTTGTAAATAAACCCCTACTGCCAAAGAAAATAGTACCATTTTACTACTTGTTGGATGATCCAATTTTACCTCATTGGATCAGAGTGGTTTCAGAATGACCAATGGGAGAATGAAAGTGTTTACAGCGTATATTTAAGAACGACTAACAGGAAGTTGTTTTCATTTGCCATTTTTTTACCCCAAATCTTTCCAGTACATGATGCTTTTGCACAATCAGAACTAAAGCCCTTGAAATCTGATAATCCAGATTATGAATGGGAAATTTGCCTTATATTCATAAAGAACTACTGAATGCACGTTTGGGGACGTCTCCCGTTAGCACGTGGAAATGTACAAATGTGGCTTCAGGTGCTGATGCCAAACTTTTACTTTATCTTGAGTTTTTTTTTTTTGACCAAGACAATTATAAAGTAATACCAAGTTATTAGTATTTTCTCCTAGAACAGGGGTCGGCAACCTGTTCCCATCAAAGAGCCATTATTACCCGTTTCCCACAGTAAAGAAAACACTGGGAGCCACAGCAGCCGCGGCGTTGTGGGCGGGGCCTATCCTCAGACAGCAGAGAGCTGCTTTAACCAATCACAACAGGTGACAGCAGCCAGTACCGGTCGCTCGTGTACGTCAAAATTATCTTTCATAAGACGATAATCAATAAAACGATTTATATAAAGTGGATCCAGAAGTTGTAGCCCGTCTCTGCCTACAATATTTTGATATTTTTCACCCTGTTGGTGGTTTTACTGAGCATGTGCCACTTTTGTCATACGTTTCTTTTTAAAACATGTTTAGACTGTTCAGAATACAAATCCAGGCTCTGTCACGTTTGATTGTTGTAATTAAACTTTGTAGGTGGGGAAGGTCAGAAAAGTATCCGACCAATTTGTTTTTCCCTCATTTACAGTGACGGAGATAACGGCGCAGTGCGCCTGGCTCTGGTGTTAATCAAGTTAAATTATATCTCTTTGTAACAATTTTCCCAAGAAAACAGAACAGTTAAAAGCAGGGCATGTGTTGTTTTGACCGGATAGTTCCCATATTTGACCGTTTATTTTGACGGAGAAAGAATAGAAAGAATTACCCCGACGCATGCAGACGAACTGACATTTTATTCATTTCGCACATCGCAGATGTAGCTAAATCACTCAAGAAAAGATTCCCATCTGAACATCTGAGCTGGACACTGCTCAACGCAGCTCACTGTCAGCGCATACGTACGGTGCACAACGAGCTGAAGATGTGGAGAGGGGTTTGGAGAACGTCGCAGAACCAAAGCGTATGCAGGAAGATTCCTCCGACTGAAACGAGACTTGTCACTTAGAAAATGTTCCCTGATTACGAAACTTTGGCTGAATAGCGCTTGTTCCTGTCTCCAATGTGGCGACACATCCAGGAGCCGTCTGAGGAGAATCCCAGAATCTGACATCCTCGTCAGCTCAGAAAGCGCCTACGATTACGCACAAGCGTGACCCGTCAACCCGGTTTCACAGTAAGACCGGGTTGGAACTGTTCAGGATTACGCAGACAATCTTTACATTTAGAATTGGCATACAGATGTAAAATTAATGCAGTAAAATATGAAGCATTTTATTTAAATATCCATTCATTATTTTACAAGCACAGAGAGCCGCATCAGATGGATGGAAGAGCCGCATGCGGCTCCAGAGCCGCGGATTGCCGACCCCTGAGCTAGAAGGATGTGATCACAATAGCAGTTTTTACAGTGTAGAGTTAGTTTTAACACCATCTGTCTTTCTGTGACTCAGAAAAACTTCATTAGACTTAAAATTTAAAATTAGGATATTTTGAGAAGAAACATTTCCTGAAACATATGTTTTGTCAAACATACATTAATACTGGATGTTTTAAATATTTGTATTTATTGTAACACATTTTTATTTAGAAGAAAAAAAAAGTCAACTGTTTCGCCCATTAACAAATATTATGTTAAACGAGCAATCTCAGCCATTTACAGGTGTTTCATTGGCAAAGTAAAAAATAATCTGTATTACCGTTTGTGGGGAGCTTCCTGAACAGCCTCTGTTTGGAGAAATGAGGTTTACTTTCATCATAACTGATAAGCTAACGGCTAGTTGGACTGCATCCGAGACCAAGGTATGTTATCTTAAAATGGCTTCAGTCTACAAAACCTCAATGCTGTTTATGCAACTTTTTAAAATGTAACATTTACGTTGCTGTTGACTTGACATGACATGTTTAGTTTAGCTGCTTGTAATAGTTATACTTGTAAATAACTAATATAAACTAGAAGCTGTTTTGGTCTTGGCTAACTAGCTGTTTGCACATCACTCCTTTTGGACAGCAACTTTATTTCTTTAAACTGAGGTTGTTCAGGAAGCCATCTTTAATGTGATATTTACACAGGAAGCAACATACCTAATATTGGCCTGAATATCCTTTTAAAGGATACACCACTACAATGGATATCAAATGAAACGAACAAGATGTGCTTTAACTGCAGACTGTCAGCTTTTATTTGAGGGTATTTACATCCAAATCAGGTGAACGGTGTAGGAATTACAACAGTTAGCATAAGTGCCTCCCACTTGTTAAGGGACCAAAAGTAATGGGACAATTGGCTCCTCAGCTGTTCCATGGCCAGGTGTGTGTTATTCCCTCATTATCCCAATTACAATGAGCAGATAAAAGGTCCAGAGTTCATTTCAAGTGTGCTATTTGCATTTGGAATCTGTTGCTGTCAACTGTCAAGATGAGACCCAAAGAGCTGTCACTATCAGTGAAGCAAGCCATCATTAGGCTGAAAAAACAAAAGATACCTATCAGAGATAGCAAAAACATTAGGTGTGGCCAAAACAACAGTTTGGAACATTCTCAGAAAGAAGGAACGCACCGGTGAGCTCAGCAACACCAAAAGACCCGGAAGACCACGGAAAACAACTGTGGTGGATGACCGAAGAATCCTTTCCCTGGTGAAGAAAACACCCTTCACAACAGTTGGCCAGATCAAGAACACTCTCCAGGAGGTAGGTGTATCTGTGTCAAAGTCAACAATCAAGAGAAGACTCCACCAATACAGAGGGTTCACTACAAGATGTAAACCATTGGTGAGCCCCAAAAACCGGAAGGCCAGATTAGAGTTTGCCAAACAACATCTAAAAAAGCCTTCACAGTTCTGGAACAACACCCTATGGACAGATGAGTGATAGGAAGAGAAGAGTATGGAGATGGAAAGGAACTGCTCATGATCCTAAGCATTCCACCTCATCAGTGAAGCATGGTGCTGGAAGTGTCATGGCGTGGGTATGTATGGCTGCCAGTGGAATTGGTTCTCTTGTATTTATTGATGATGTGACTGCTGGCAAAAGCAGCACGATGAATTCTGAAGTGTTTCGGGCAATTTTATCTGCTCATATTCAGCCAAATGCCTCAGAACTCATTGGACGGCACTTCACAGTGCAGATGGACAAGACCCAAAGCATACTGCAAAAGCAACCAAAGAGTTTTTGAAGGGAAAGAAGTGGACTGTTTTGCTATGGCCAAGTCCGTCACCTGACCTGAATCTGATTAAGCATGCTTTTCACTTGCTGAAGACAAAACTGAAGGGAAACTGCCCCAGGAACAAGCAGGAACTGAAGACTGTTGCAGCAGAGGCCCGGCAGAGCATCACCAGGGATGAAACCCAACGTCTGGTGATGTCTGTGTGTTCCAGACTTCAGGCTGTAATTGACTGCAAAGGATTTGCAACCAAGTATTGAAATGTATAAGTTTGATTTATGGTTCTTATTCTGTCCCATTACTTTTGGTCCCTTAACAAGTGGGAGGCACATATGCAAGCTGTTGTAATTCCTACACCGTTCACCTGATTTGGATGTAAATACCCTCAAATAAAAGCTGACAGTCTGCAGTCAAAGCACATCTTGTTCGTTTCATTTGATATCCATTGTGGTGGTGTATAGAGCCAAAAATGTTAGCATTTTGTCGATGTCCCAATATTTATGGGCCTGACTGTAAATACTTTGTCAGTCAACCACACCTTTAAAATTCATGTCCAATAATAAAAATAATTTGTGTTTTAAGTAAATTTCCCTAAAGAAAATAAAGAATTGTTAATGTGTGTTTAAAATGAATATTTAACCTTTAGTGTGTAAATAGTTAAACCAGGTTTTGATCTGGATTGACTCAAATTAGTGGAGGCTAAATACATTGACTTTGATTCATAGACTACTCCTAATACACAATTCCTCTTTAAAGGTTAAGATGTGTGTTCCCTGATTTTTTTTTAGCTGACTGACAGCAAAATTGTCCCCTGAGGCTGAGACTGTTGACACATACCTGTTATATTAGTAATAAAGAACCCACTAAACTGATTAAAAAGCAGCCATGATTGTAAACAGTTTTACTGATGAGGGATTTGTTTGGAGTCTAATGAGAAAAAGGCCTTTATCAGCACAGATGTTACATATCCTTTCATCCGCTCTGGGTGGCTTCGTGCATTATTCTGCATAAACGACACGATCCGAGTGACGTGTGTCTTTTGCACTTATTGATGCTGAAAGCACTGTATTTATCTAATCGTCTGCTTTGTGTGAAGATCTGAGATGCCAGCAAAGTTTTGGGAATTTAATTTGGGGAGGTGGCGGCATCATAACCCTCCATGTGCCATATTGAATGAACTTAAATGTATTTTTTTTTTGCCTGCAGAGAATAAATACGAGGAAAGCTTTTGAATTTTGCCTATGAAGATGTAAAAATTTGCTCTGACCTTAAATAAAAAAATACCAAGTATTCTTTTATTTTCATGGAGAGGTTTTGATTTATATTCTGTGTCTTAAAAAATGCTCATATGACGATTCCTGAAACAAAAGAAATTGTCCCTGAAGAGAGGAGACGGGCAGCAGCCGTGGTCGTAACAGTCGTAGGATTTGGTGATGTTCTCTTGGTTTTACTCTGCAGCTGATGGACAGTATTGTGTGTGTGTGTGTGTGTGTGTGTGTGTGTGTGTGTGTGTGTGTGTGTGAGCCTTGTCTGTGATGTAGATGAAAATCTAATAACTTTAATCTCACCTTTTCTTTGTCTCTTCTGTCCAACAAAACTGTAGCAACTAAACAGAAAATTGGCAAAACCCCTTTTGTCCAGAATGTAACTGAGTTTGTAACATATTAGATTTTTTTAAATCATTTTTTATGTTTCTGTATTTTTCATTCTTTCATTGCTTTTATTTGAGGGATTGTTTAGAATTCAACCATGTTTCTCTTGATTATTTATAATCAATAAAGGATGAAGATATTAGTCTCAAAGCTTTGGATATGTGTGTGTGTGGGGGGGGGGGGGGGGGGGGATAATGAAAAAAGGAAACTTTTTATCGAAGTTTTATCAACCCATTTTTTTTATCGCACCACGTCTGTCGATAGAAATATTGAACTATTGAATTATCGTCCAGCCCTACCAAGGACTTTAAAATGGGACCCAATGCCTCCCTAATTGACACCCAGTTTTAAGAGGTTGGATTGGGGGGGTTAAACTACTAAATAGTTCCCAAGCACAGCCACTGCTACTGTTCTTGCCAAAGAATGATATGTACCTAAATATCCTCCTAGACGATCTCATTTCAAATATTGGTTTAATGAAGCTTCAAAGTTATAACTGAGTTGGTCCTGGAACAAAATGTGCCAAAACGTTTGTTTCATGGCCAGGAAACTTCCCTGAACCTAATCCCAAATCTATCAAGAAGCCAGATGAAAATGAAAGAGCCACAAATTCTTACAAATTCCAAGTATCGACCACTATCTCAGAATTGGCTGCCACCAGTCAGGATTTGGCCAAGAAGTGAGCTTATAAACGGAAAAACAATCTACAAACATGGACATTTTGCATAAACTTCATGGAATTGTCAGTATCCTTTAAAATGGGAAATGCTTTTATTTAGACTTCAGGTTTCCATGGAGGCATGGAAACATCTTCCTAGAAGATCTTAAGACACCAACGTAGGATAGTTTGAGAGAAAATGTGTTGCTTTCATATTCTGAACTCAACTTTCATCAAAAGAGTGACCTTATCTGTGAAAAGCTGCATGGTGGCGCAGTGGTTAGCACTGTTGCCTCGCAGCACGAAGGTCGCAGGTTCAAAACTCGCCTTTCTGCGTGGAGTTGCGTGTTCTCCCCATGCATGCGTGGGTTTTCTCCGGGTATTCCGGTTTCCCCCACAGATCACAACATGCCCTATAGGTTAAAAAATAATTGTAAGTCGCTTTGGGTAAAAGCGTCTGCTAAGCACATAAACATAAACAAAAGCCACAGAAAAACATGTAGGAAACACTTGAATTTATTGACGTTACCAACCAAACATGAATCAATTTCCAAAAACTTTAAGGTAGAATATGTAACAAAACTTCTAAAGTTTCAATCATGTTGGAAGGAATATTATTTTCAAACAGACTTCTGTGGGGTTGTCAGTTTTTTTCCTATCACAAAAAGTAAAGCGGGATGTGTCTTTGTTTACCATCTGAGTCTGGGGTTTCAGAGTCTCTGCCAGCTAAAGCTACTATACTGGCAATTGTAATCTGCCACTGGCAGGCAAAACGCAGCAGCATTTTCTAAAGATCCTAAGCCAATAAAAAGAGTGACCCAGAAGTTATTTCTTGCAGCCTAAGAATCCATGGCATCTTTTTGTTTTACTCTTACTGAGTAAAGAACGCTAGAGGCTAATGTTGAGCTAACCGCAAACGGTGAATTGGAAAAAAATAGTGTGCTCTCAAAAAATCTCAAGCTACTTTTTCAATTACCAACAACTGGAACTCACAGAACAGCAGTGAGAAAGTCACTCTTCGTTTTGAAAATGAACCACAGAACCCACATTTGACCACAGGATATCATTTATATTTCATTCCTACATAATGAACATTTAAGGCACTAGAAATTTTAAAATCTTTAAATTATTGGAAACAGAATCACGTCTTTAAATACATTCTTGTATTCTTTATACATTCTAGGATAACACAGAAGTTTAGTTAAAAAGTAGTAAAAGTCTCAAACTTTTATATCATAATAAATAAAAAATATCTACTTTAGATTCAAACACAAATTAGAATTTCTCTTAAACATAATCAGTGTAATAGGGCTGCGCAGTGGTGCAGTGGTTAGAGCTGTTGCCTTGCAGCAAGAAGGTCCTGGGTTCGCTTTCCAGCCTGGGATCTTCCTGCATGGAGTTTGCATGTTCTCCCTGTGCATGCGTGGGTTCTCTCCCGGTACTCCGGCTTCCTCCCACAGTCCAAAAAGATGACTGTTAGGTTGATTGGTCTGTCTAAATTGTCCTTAAGAGTGTGTGTGTGCATGACTGTTTGTCCTGTGTGTCTCTGTGTTGCCCTGCGATGGACTGGCACTCTGTCCAGGGTGTACCCTGCCTGATTGCCCATTGACCGCTGGAGATAGGCACCAGCCCCCCACCCCATGTGGACAAGCGGGGTCAGCCAATGGATGGATAATCAGTGTATTTGGTTCCCCACTGGTCCATCCATTGGCTTTCTAAAAAAAAAAAAAACACACACACAATGCAGTTGATCTTTAGTTTTGAAAATATGTTTGTCATTATTGTCATTATTTTACGAAGTTTTAATGCTCAGATTACTTGAGCGATGTGCTATCCTGAAGTTCCACATTGAGCGTTTCAGGAAGCAGTAAAGTGAAACCACCGGCAGTGATTGGAATGATCCCGTAAACCACCATGGGAATGGTATGATGGTAGGCCTCCAGGAGCCGGATCAGTGGTGCAAAGAATCCCGCTACACGAGCACACATGGAATTCACACCCATACCGCTGTGTCTGCAGTAAACACAGGTAAGGAATAATAAACATTATAGATTCTGGTGAAAATTCCATCCATGTTCCAAACCTGCACAAAAAGTCAATATTTGGATCAGAGCTGAATACGATCCTGGATACAAGCTGCTCAAATGATATTCCTCGGTGTCTCAGACACTGCATGACTTTTAAATGAAGCTTTCAAGCATCCTGTGTCATCCACTCATCCTGAGTCGGCAGTCAGGAATTCTGATGCATTTCCTGACTAGAAGAGATATCATTCCTCCAGTAAGTTCTTGATCATGCTTGATATCTTTACCCAACTGAATGAGCTCCAGAAGCCTTTCCAATCGAAGGACTTGGCAATGACCCTATACCTCAAAGGCCAGTTCAATATATAGAATCTATTACTTATCCATTGATCGGGATAAACAGTCCTTCTGTGTTTAAAAACAGGTAAGCAGAAGAAACTTTACCTTATGTTGGTGGGGTATAATTCAGCAGTATAAACGTAGGCTGTAGTGAAGGCAGCCGTGGCGGCAAATTTTCCCAGCACAGCTATGACTGTCACCACGGCAGGAAGGTCTGATTGGGATGGATTATTCAGTTAAACACAAGGTAGCTTTAACATTACAATAAATATGATTTTGATGATACCTCTGGGGATGACAAGGGCCAGCAGACAAGAGGCGCCACCAAACAGCAGGAAGCCTGATTCACTTATTCTTCGCCCAAAGTGTTGAATCAGGATCAATCCACTTACGTTAGCAGGGATTTCGATAAACCCAAAAATGAGTTGTGTGAGGTAGATATTCAGGCCAAAAGTCCCAATATTTAGGCTCAGTCCATAAAACAGAATACTCGCTGCAAACCTAGAATCAGACAGTTTTTAGTTTGACTCCTACAGACACAAGAACATTACTTTTAAAGAAATATAAATATGTGCATTGTAGTTTTTAAACAACTTTGGATTGTTCTAACTTATTAGATCTACTCAGAGATTTGTCTGAAAGTTGGTCACAATTACTTAACACCAAAGACAAGTTTTAATTTCAACAACCTTTCCACAGAGATGCACTTTAAATGATCTACACACCAGTTAAAACCCATTATTATTGTGCGTTTTCTCAAACACGAGTTCCGGAAAATGTCCAACATATTTTTTCGTTCCAGAGTGCTCTCCATGTTGACCTAAGTAAGAAGAAGTCAACTTGTAGAAAACGTTTAATGGAAATTTGTAATATTCTAAAGTGTTTCTGAAGACCTTATCGAGAAGACCTTCTGGTAGAATCCTTCTGTTGACTCTGGCTGCCCGCTGGAGCTCCTTCTGCGCCGCCTCCTTCCTGCCGTTCGTCAAGAGCCATCGAGCTGACTCAGGGAGAAGCCTGGGAACACAAAGGTTAACCTCGACCCCAACTTGGTGAAGTTTGGCTGACTAAGTTTATTTATAAGAAGCTGCTGACCAGTACATGGCCATCAGAATAATCACAACGGGGCTGAAGAGCACCAGCTGTAGAGTCCTCCAGTTTGAAATCAAATACGCGATACCAGACAGCATCATCTCTCCGAGGGAAAAGGAACTCATGATGGCAAATATGCAAAGAGCAGACTTGGAAGGGTCGATCCATTCCACCACTAAAAAGCAGATCAGAAGTGAATGAAAAAAATGTCCATGGGCTAAAACGTTGGTATCAGACCTTAGTCAATGGTTTCTAGGGGGTTGAATCTCTGAATGCACACGTTTTATTTACACATTAGAAAAAAATTTTGTAGAAAGATAAACTTTCCTAAAATTCTTAATGGTTTTCTTTAATTGTTTCTCTTGAAATCAAGTCAGATGACTCAGAAATACTACTGAACAGGACCACGAAAAACCAAAAGTAAATTAAGCAGAGCAAATTAAAACTGATAATCACAAGAAGACACAGTAGTGGACCTACCCATCACTGATGTGTTGATGATGATGGTACCACCCGATGCCCCGCTAAAAAACTTGAGAATCGTGTAAATGTAGAGGTTTGGTGAGAAGGCTGTGATCACCCCAAACAACAGATCAAGGAAAATGGAAAGGAGGATTGCGAATCGTCTGCCAAAACTATAAATAGGACAAAAACATAGAACTGTAGTCAACAATAAATCATTAAATGAGCAGTAATTAAACACATTTTCAACAATGTTTTACCTATCAGAAATAGCCCCAAACACCAGCGATCCTGCAAGAATACCTGCCATGTACACGGACTGAGATACCTGGATCAAACCACTCTTATCACAGACCAGGTCAAACTGGAAACGAGAACAATTGGTTATAGTTAAAAGGCAGTTCAGTGTCAAAGTTTCCTGGTTCTTTATATTTTCCTCCCAGGCAGTCAGATTTTCTTGTAATCTTGATCTTCCGGATTTAGGATCCAGGATGTATTTTACAAATGAACAGTTAGCCCAGTTTTTGCACCTGGCAACATATTATTTTAGTTTCTGGTTAAAGGGATATTCCACCCCTAAGTGAAATTTAGTCTGTTGCCATGTTCCCCGGAGTTAGATATGTGGGAAACAGCATTTTATAACCAGCCGAGTCATTCTCCTGGCAGCATTCTGTTAGTTTTAGCAGAGGTTTGACCAAGTCACTGCTTTGCAAGTCACAAGTCTTTCCAGTCAAGTCTAGAGTCAAGTCCAAGTCAAGTCCCAAGCCGATGTGGAAGTCCAAGTCAAGTCCAAGTCCTTAACTTTGAATTTTCAAGTCATATTCAAGTCATCTGTCCAACTTCAATTTAATGACAATGATAATAAATACATTCCAGAAAAAAATGCTTCTTAAAGCTTCATTTATTTGCTCAAACAAGCAGAAAGTGCAGCTGAAATAGATTATAAACACAGTGCTGCTGCATTTAGCAGTACAGAATCAAACCCAGAACGAAGAATGATTTATGATTTCTGTCCATGTCATGCCACTTTTGTGCTAAAATATCAAATATGCCCAAGTCATCATCAAGTCAACAGTCGCAAGTCATCTGCATTCAAGTCTGAGTCAAGTCGTTCGTTTTTATAGATTTTATCAAGTCAAGTGAGAAGTCATTAAAATAATTAATCGAGTCTGACTCGAGTCCAAGTCATGTGACTCGACACTTCTGAGTTGTAGCTTATGATAAACAATGTAAGTCAGTGGTAACAGCTAGCATTTCAGTCATTCAAATTCAAGACACCTACTTGTATAAACACAAATGTGTGGCTTACCAGGCTCATATCTGGTACAGTTTTTGAAGTAACAGTGTAGTAAGTTGATCCAAAAATGACACAGTACATGACAGGTGAAGTAGGTGTAATTCAGGGCAGCACATTGCGGCGGCAGTTTACAGAGGTGCTTTGTCGTAAAGTAGCCCCAAGTTTAAATTGACTCTAATTCCTTTGTGATACTTGTTATTTTCATTTGCAGTCAGTATGATTATTGAGGTCACCAAGAAAAGTTAGGATCATTACTGTGTAATTTCAATGACTTTTCACACAAAATGCTAGCTGTTACCATTCACTTACATTGTTTATGCTAAGTTAAAGCTAACGGAATACTGCCAGATTAGGAGAATGACTGGATTGGTTACAAAACATTGTTTCCCACTTATTTAACTGGGGAATATGGCGAAAGACTGCTTTTTATATTTTAAAGGGATATTCGCCCCCACGTGAATATTTAGTATGAACAAGTCGACGACCAAAGATAAAACGTGAAGCCTGAAAGAAATTAAATAAAAAAAAAAAGAATTTCTCAGTTGTGTCATATAAAATAATATTACTGGGGCAGCAGTAGCTCAACAGGTTGAGCGGGTTGTCCAGTAATCGGAAGGTTGCAGGTTCGATCCCGGCTCCGGACAGAGAATTCTGCTGCTGTGTCCTTGGGCAAGACATTTAACCCCCTTTCCTGCTGGTGGTGGTCGGCAGGACCGGTGGCGCCTGTGCTTGGCAGCCTCGCCTCTGTCAGTGCGCCCCAGGGCAGCTGTGGCTACATCGTAGCTCATCACCATCAGTGTGTGAATGAGTGTGTGAATGGAAGAATGATACACTGTAGTGTAAGGCGCTTTGGAGTCCTTACTCTGAGAGGCGCTATACAAGTGCGTGTCATTTATCATTTATCATAAATTATCATATTTCATATGGATATATATAATTTACTATGAGCTCTGCTGCTTTTGCAAGATTGGTACTTTCCTCATGAAACTGGCTGTACTGAATCCTAATAATGCCCTCTGGTGGAGGATTGAAGTACTGCATTGGGAAAGGACAACTTTTTATTTCCTTGTGTTGTTCAATGATATATAATTAAATTGCATTACATTAATTAAAATTTAAAAAATCTGATTATTATTTAATGTATCATGCTGTCAGTGGTGTCCAGTCCGTGTCCTTGTGGCACAGGTTTTTAGTTGTTTCCCTGCTCCAACACACCTGATTCAATGATTGAATTATCAGTTTGGCGTTTCATCAAGCTCTGCAGAGGCTTATAAATCACATACTGATTAAAATCAGGTGTGCTGAAGTAGAGAAACCTTTAAAATATTCAGGTTGAGAACCAGTTTTGAACACATTTAATGCAGGGGTGCCCAATCCTGGTCCTGGAGGGCCAGTATCCAGCAGGTTTTACCCCTTCTTTCCACCGGAGCCGTCAGCAGCGCATTACTGCAGCAGCACATCATAGCTGCTGATAGGAACCGCTGTGGTCAACAGAACCTTTTCCACCGGAGCCGTCAGCAGCGCGAGTCGGCCGCATGTTACGTCCCCTTTTCAGTGGGGCCTGTAAGTGCTTGTGTTTATTATTGTATTTTTCAGGAGCAGCATGTCGCGGCCCTTACGCGCTAGTTCTATTTTCTACGCGCTACGCCTCTGAAATGGGTCAAGTTTGACATTTTTGGGGAAGGAAAGACAGGAAATCGGACGCGGAAACGGAGCGAAGCTTTCTGAGATTTTCAGAATAAAGAAACGTACTGCCTTCCGGTTGCTTTACTTTAAAAAAAGGTTACTAACTGTGCGGCCCCGTGAGAAGTTATCACCTAGCTAGCGGTCTCCTTTGTTTTTCAGGTCCGTATTGGCGATTATAAAACGGACAGAACATAAAACACAACCCTTTTGGAGCCATGTTGTAATTTTCTCCTGCTTGTTGTTGTGTTTACTGACTTCATGCTCTGTCGGTGACAGCTGCTCCCCTGCTGCTTCGCGTCTCGTGGGAAGGGCCAAGCAGCAGCTTACGTGAGCAAGACGAGCTGCTGCAGTAGCGTGCTGCTGACGGCTCCGGTGGAAAGAAGGGGTTAGTTTCATTCTGCTTCAGCACACCTGATTTCAATCAGCAGGCGATAAACAGGCTTCTGCAGAGCCTGATGAGCTGCTGCACAGGTGATTCAACCAGTGAATCGAGTGTGTTGGAGCAAAGTAACCACAAAACCTGCTGAATACTAGCCCTCCAAGACCAGGATTGGGCACACATTGTTTAATGCCTTTTTATATCTTGAATGGTTTATAGGTTGGAAAAGAAATCATAGAAAATTTTCACAAAAACAGAAGCTCAAGTCCAAAGAAATGCTTTAATAAACCTTCAAAAATCATTAAAAAAATACTATTTAAAAGCTTACAAGAAAGTATCAGATGGGTAGAAAAATTGAGTTAAATCTGACACCGTTTAATATTATTATACACAGCAGACTGATTAAATACAGCTAGAAATGGAAAATAGAACATTCTACCTCCGTGACAGTGCTGGAAACTCCTGGCTGGACCTCGTACACCCATCCATCTGTGCATCCTGTTGTGCTGTTGAGGCCGTGTGCTTCAATCGTTCCCAAATCCAAATCTACAGGTGTGAACATCATGCAGCTTTCAAACCTCCCATCCTTGTCCACGGGGAGGGTGAGATTTTTTTGCCTCTCATCTGTCAGGTTTGGCCCAGGCTTTAAGATCCAGTCAGTGTTACAGTGATGAGGGTAGCTCATGCCTGCAAACACCTGGCCAATCACATTGAATGCGGGGTAAATGCTGGGGATGCACAAGGCCACCAGTAAGCATTTCTGAAATACACCAAACTCCCCGACTTCCTTCAGGACCTGTCTGAAGCTGCTCATGCTGACATTTGGTTCAGCTTGCGGAGGCTGATTGTAGACCTACTGTATGAGTAAAGATATGATTAATATTTAACCAAGTTCTGTTAAGATAGTTAATTACTTTTATCTTTCAGTGGGAAATTACTCTTAGTATGTAAAGATAAACCCGCATCACCAGTTACATTTTCACTCATCAATCAGTAATGGTTTGAGGTCACTGAAAAACCCACTGTCAGCTGTTATTTGCTCCATTTGATGTGGAAGAACACCGGTTCTACTCCAAGTCCATTCCGGATTTCCAAGCTCCTCACTCTTGTTACCCTGTGGAGAAAACTCAATTCAGTTGCCTTTATTTGCAGTCTAATTTAACTTTGTCATTACCCAAAGTTCATGAACACAGATGAGAAGGAGAATGCAGACAGTTCAGTACATAAATGGGGCACAGGAGTTGAAGGCACAGGGCATTGCAGGTTTGAGTCCCGCTTAGTCTGACGCTGTCGTTGGGCAAGATACTTAACCCACCTTGCCTGGTGGTGGTGTTCGGAGGGACCGGTGGTGCCTGTGTACGGCAGACTCGGCTCTGTCAGTGTGCCCCAGGAGATGCTATGTAGCTCATCACCATCAGGGAGTGAATGGGTGAATGACTGATTGTGTTGTAAAGTGCCTCGGGGGGTTCCAGGACTCTAGAAGACACTATATCAAAATACAGACCATTCATCATAAATACATGTGCCTTCCAGCTTAGCTCATGATGTGGTTTAACACCCACCCCAATGCAAATACTTCTATTCTTCCTTCAGTCACCAACAAGTTTTTAAAACTCTTCTACCTGAGGTACAATGGTTGTACTACAACTTCCTCCTTACATAGTGAAGACAGTCTACCCCAACATGAACTGAAGGTTACTTTCGCAAAGTTAAAGCGGCATTGGCAAATCTGCAAACAAGCTAGGTTCTTAATGCAAACACGGAACACTTGCCCTCCCCTCAGGTATCTTCCCTGAGACGCCGTGGCCGGAACAGGACACCCACATTGTCGGAGGAAACTAGAGAGCGCTAAACACCAGTCGCCATTTCCTACCTCCAAACGTCTTTTGATGGTGTTTGTCTCTTTGGGACTCTGGTAGTTTGTCCTAAAGTTGAAGTGTTAACAGCCGGCTGTTTCTCCTTCTCTGAAATGATTGGGCCACAAACCTCTCACACCAGTGGTGCTCTGTTGCTAAATATGCGAGCACATAATGAGTGGAGGTCCCAGGGAAGCACATCGCCTGCCAAGACTGGAGACCAATCTTATTACCTTCGGATCCCAAGACAACCACTCTCCCCGTTCAGCCACGGCCACCCTACTATCAGTGAAGGTAGGATAAAGTAATAGATGGTCTAACGTTTAGCAAAAATTAGGGTTTGACTCCAGTTTTGGTAAAACTCTTGTTTTATGTTCCAACCCTCACCTATGGCCATCTAGACCTTGCATAGATGGAAACGGGAAGATTGTACTGGAGCCGCTTCTCCTCCCTATTAAAATGAGTCAGCTGGGATAGTTTATGCATCTAATTAGGCTGCCTTCTGGTTACCTCCCTCTGAAGGAACCTACTGAGATGAGATCCCAGGATAAAGCCAGAACTTGCAGAAGAGATTGTGTATTCTCTTTGGTCTGGGAACATTTTGGGAATCACGGGGGGGGGGGGGGGGCTAGAGAGTTGAGCTAGTAATGAAGCTGTCTGGGTTACCCTGCTGGATCGTTTCCCTCTGCAACCAGACTTTGAGGCCCTGTCCACACGTAGCCGGGGATCTGCCAAAACGTAGATATTTTTCTACGTTTTGGCCTGTCATCCACACGAAAACGGAGTTTTTTCACACGAAAACGGATCTTTTTAAAAACTCCGGCCAAAGTGAAGATCTGCGTTTTCTCCATTTTGGGTGTCTGCGTGTGGACGGACAAAACCGGAGTTTTAAGGTCTGCAACGTCACTTTCCGTGACAAAAAATGCTGACATCACGTGTGCGACCTGTGTTTACATTAGCCGGCATCATGGAAGCCTTCAGAGCTGCGCTCTGTCACTGCCCGATCCATCAATTGTCCAAGCGCTTTCTGCTTGTTTGTTTTTACAAGCGGAATTACTGCTCCTTGCGGAAGACCACAGACGAAGCACGAGGTTAAGAACGGGGGAAGTACTGCCGCCTACAGGTCTGGCATGTCCTTAACAACGTATTTATCCGGGTATGTGTGGACAGAGTTTGTTTTTAAAACGCGGTGGTGTGGATGCAAGTTTTTGGAGGGGCGGATGTAGATGGGTTTTCAAAAAACCCAGCTACATGTGGACTAGGCCTGAATTAGTAGAAGACAGAAAACTAAAAGCTAGATGGTAGTCCTCCATTGACCACATTGAATGCAGTTTCTATCTGCTGATATACAACTGGCTTTTCTTCTTTGAGTGCTTCACATAAAGTCAATGAACACAAACAAATAAAATAAATGTGACAAAAAAAAAAGAAAGAAAGCTGCTGTTTATTATTCTGCACATTAGAAATATCCATGCTGAGATAAGGAAGGGCACAAACTGTACCCATGGAGTGGCAAAACATGACAACAATGAAAAAAGACGTACAGTTCCACTGATAAACATTGTTTTTGACCAAATACATTCAAATGATAAGTGTTAGCCAAGAGATAAGACACCAATAAAACATATAGTAACAGCAAATATCACATTTTTGTGCTCCTTTCTGCTTTGTCTTCTTGTGGAAAGGAATCCGTCTCAGGATGTTTTTCTATGGGTTTTCTGTAATTATAAACAAAACCGTCTTGTTGTCAATTTCCTTTGGTTAAATAAAAGAAAAGTGAAAGAAAACCCTATAGAAACTCACATAATTTCAGCATGGTCCTGAAGTTCTGTGTTGCGGGTTTCAGGCAGCAGCACGCAGAGACCTCCGGCAATGATGGGGATGGTGCCGTAGATCAGCATGGGGATGGTGTGATGGTAGACGTTCAGGAGACGGATCAGCGGAGCCAGGATTCCCGCTACACGTGCACACATGGCGTTCAGACCTACGCCATTCTGTCTGACAGGACAGCGAGGATTCAGACTCAAATACATTTTCTACAAACTGATTCTTAGTTTTGTCTTTGGGTCTTTTGGACCTTACCTCAGGACAGTTGGGTATAATTCAGCAGTGTAAACGTAGACCGTAGAAAAGCTGGCAGTAGCGGCAAATTTACCCACAACAGCAATGACTGTTGCCACAATGGGAAGATCTGACCAAACAAAGCGGAAATTAATACTTTGTCTTTATTTATGTTATTTAAATAAAAGTCCAAAAGTCAGTGAAGTAAGCCAAGGACCTTATTGTATACATCTGAAAAGCATTGCTTAAGACACTGTCAACAACTTACATCACCAAATTTAGGAAACCTTCTTCATTGTGAGGGAAATCATGATGCTGCCTCTCTCCCAGTACCATTGATCTACTGAGATCAGGAGTCTGAGATCTCTTTATACCTCAAGAGTAACACCATGATGTCAACAATCAAGCCATACAACAAGCCACATCCTGACAGGATTCCCGACAGGACTCCGATGGTGTGATAGGGTTAAGGTTAGTCACAACCACCAAGCCACCTGGTATATGCATGATCCAGGTCATGGGTGTACTAGCCCAACCCTTGATCCAGGGCTTGATGGGTTGCTATCATGATAATACATTTCCATGACCTTACCCAGAAAGTTTCGTACATGATTGTATCCACTGCTCTGTCCTGTTTGAATCAAATCCCCAAAGCCGGGCAGACACTGAGCGACTTTTTCACTCGTAGTATTCAGCTCCATCTCACACTGTACGACTTCCTAACACAACACCTCAGACCTTTTGAGTCTGAAATCCCTGGAAGACCCGGAGACTGTTGTGTTGTTAAGTAATTTGTCCTTCAGGCTTGCTGTAGGTAAGAAAGACGAAAGAAAGGAAGTAAAAACGGTTTTGCGATCCTAGTATAAACACAAAAAAGTCTCTGTCTTAATCCTTGCAGTGTGTGTAAAAATAAAAAGAAGCGACGTGTGTTGACACAGAAATGCTCGTGAAGCCGGGTTGGTGCATGCGCTGTGTGAGGCGTTCTGGTGCTTTTGGGTCGGAAAGCTGCTTTATCAGTGTGATACCCTCTTGAGGGACAAAAATGATATCAAACACGCCTGAAATGTGGTTGAGTGCACGATTGCTGATTGGGAGATATTCGTGAGGTGTTAATTGCCTCTCGTTACCCCCTGTATACTACACAAGGCACAACGCAAGTCTCTTCCCAATCTCAAAGATTCTTGCACGAAGGGAAAATCCGCTCAAAAAAGTCTTACAGTGTCTGCCCGGCTTAAGAAAGTACTGCACTCAACCCTCTTTCTGTCTTCGACCACCTGTAGACGGGGCTTGGTTTGGTCTCTGATTCTTCATCACGTGTTGTGGCAGGTCCTTGGACTGGTCCTACATCAAGGTCATTGACTGTAAATTGGGTTTGAGGACCCCTCGTGGTCGCAAAAGCCTCCAGGGCATGCTAATCGGACTCTGTCTGCTTGGAGCTCTGATGATCTTTGACCTATCAAGCTCTTTCCTACACAACGTTAAACCAGCTCCTCTCAAAGATCTCAGATCCAGCAAAGACCATTCTTGGCCAGATTTTTTTCTGCATCATAACCAGGTCTTAATTTAGTGTGAATGGGGTTTAGTAATGAATACCATGAAATCATGCCTGATGTTACAGATAAAACTTTATCGAATTGATGACAATCTTTAAATTACCGCTTGGTATAGCCAGGATCCCAAGGCAAGCCAAACCCCCAAACACGAGCACTCCCGCTTGACAACATTTACGGCCAAAGTGCTGGAGGAAAGGCAAAATTCCCAGACGTGCAGGAAATTCCACAAGGCCAAAGATGAACTGAGTGAGGTAGATATCCAGACCAAAGTTGCCAACATTGAGGCTGAGTCCATAGTACATCAGACTTGTTGCAAACCTGGTAAACACAAGGGTTACACCTAAGTAAGTGAATCTAAAATGATAATGATGCATATGACGAAACACTCACCAGATGCTGCTCATGATGAAAGCTCGTTTCCTTAGGTAGGCTATCCGAAAGATGTCCAGCATAGTCCCTGTTTTGACGGTACCTTCAGCCTCCAGCTAAAAATGTATGTGCTGTTAGTAAGCAGTAAGACTTTGTAATGTTTGATTTGGTTCAGCGTACTTTCTCCAGCATCTCCTCCGGTACGGTCCTCTTGTTCACCTTAGCTGCTCTCCTTAAAGCCTTAATGGCCTCCTTCTTCCTGCCCTGAGTAATGAGCCAGCGAGCTGACTCGGGCAGAATCCTAGTTGACAAATAACCCTAGAATCACAAACTGTAATGTAACATTATTATTTATCTTCCACACCTTTTATTTTCATTAGAACTGTCTAAGAGGGACGACTAACCAGTAGAAGATTCCCAGAACCGGGACAATGGGGCTGAAGAGGACCAGCTGCAGGATTCTCCAGTCTCGGATGAAATATGCTATTCCTGATAACATAATCAGTCCAAAGGGAAAAAACGAGTGGCAGATGATAGTGCAGAGGGCAAACTTGGAGGAGTCACTCCATTCTCCACCTGCAAAATATTGGGATGGATGCATCAATTTCTGTTTCTCGTTTAGCATGTTTGTGTTTTCATAATCTATTTAGGTTTTAGTGACTTTTAGTTTGCGTTTTTCAAACAGATTTGTTCCGGGTTGAAAGGCACAGATCATCAAATTTCAACTTGCAGCTAACTGCAAAGAGTCATAAAGCTCTATGGAAACAACAATAGAATGCTATTTGAATTATTTAAAGGTTTATTAAAAAATTGCTTTTGCATTCATTCTGATTCAGACCCTGTGCACATGTAGGTGGGTTTCCCATAAAAGAAGGATATTTTTCTACGATTTGGCCCATCATCCACACGAAAGTGAAAATAAACACCACCCAAAAGGATTCTTTCAAAAACCCAAACCAAAGTGGAGATTTGCTAATTCTCCGTTGTTTATGTAAATAACCGGTTTTCCCTGCA